CACAGCCTTCAGGTGTGTCAGCCACTCCTCCCAGTTTAGTGTCATCAGCAAACTTGCTGACCATGCACTCTATTCCCTCATCCAAGTCATTGATGAATATGTTGAACAATACAGGTCCCAGTAGCAACCCTTGAGGGACTCCACTGGATACAGGCCCCCAACTGGACTCTGTCCCATTGACCACTACTCTCTGGCTTCTATCCTTCAGCCAGTTCACAATCCACCTCACTACCCGATCATCCAGACCACGCTTCCTTAGTTTAGCTGTGAGAATGCCCTGGGAGACTGTGTCAAATGCTTTACTGAAGTCAAGATAGACCACATCCACTGCTCTACCACCATCCACCCACTGGGTGATGTCCTCATAAAAGGCTATCAGGTTTGTCAAGCACAACTTCCCCTTAGTGAAGCCATGTTGACTGCCCCTAATGACCCTCTTATCCTTGATATGCCTAGAGACAGCACCAAGGCTAAGTTGTTCCATTAACTTTCCAGGGATGGAGGTGAGGCTGACCGGTCTATAGTTTCTTGGGTCTTCCTTCTTGCCGTTTTTGAAGACCGGCGTGACATTTGCTTTCCTCCAGTCCTCAGGCACCTCTCCTGTTCCCCACGATTTGGCAAAGATGATGGCAAGTGGCCTGGCAATGACATCTGCCAGCTCCCTCAGCACCCGCGGGTGCATCCCATCTGCCTGTTTTAGGCAGACAGAGTACTGTTTGTATGTATAAGAAATAGAAAAGATGTATATGATAGTAGAGTGGTACAATTCTGCTAAGAGTGTTTGTCTGTCTTGTGCTTCTGAAACAGTGATAAAGTTCTAATGCTATTGTGCAGCTTTCTTACATTATTCTATACTGTTTTTGGTTTTATTGGCTTAAGAACATCCACTTAATCTAAGCATGACAGGCTTTTAGAAGCATCAGCACTCTGGGCATTAAACCCAACATGCTTTTCCAAAACCATTTTTCAATAAAAACAGAATCCTATTTTGTTTTTGGCAGATGAATGATGGACCTTTGTGCAAGTGCAGTGCTAAAGCCCGACGAACAGGAATAAGACATGGCATTTATCCTGGTGAAGAGGTAAGTGATTCTAAGAACTGCAATTATGAATACAAACTTGCTGCTGTAAACTCATACTTGAGTTGATTTGAGGTTGTTTTTCCATGATTTACAGGCTGAACTAAAACTCCTGTGCGACTTTAAATTGCTTAGTTGTGTAACCTCATATTTAAAATGCAGTACTGGTAATGAAATCCACCTAAAACTGTGGAAAATTTTTGCCTGCATTTGTTTGGTTCTAGGTTTTTTATTTAATGTTTCTGAAACACAATTACATTAATAAAAAATAACTTGTGGTCAAAGATCTGCTATCTTCAACTAGATGAGTATGTTATGAGGACCCTCTTTGTGAAGAGATTGCTTTAAAAGTAAAAGTAAATAAAATAGTAATTCTGCTGCTGACAGGAGCAGGAAGCTTGTCAGGAGGTGTTCTTGCCATAGCACTGGCACTTGTCTGCACCGCAAACTGTCAAACAGTTCTTTATGAATATGTAATTAGAAAAAAATACTCCATCAGCTTCCTGAAACACATTTTAGAATGGTAGTGCCTTTCTTTTGAAAAATGTAGAAATAATGTTTGGTTATTTTCCTTAGAAGTACTCATTTATATAGAGCATACTTTGTGATCGGTATTGTTTCTGCAAATAAAAACAGTGCTTGGGCCACCTCAAGCTTTTTAATTCTAAAATACTTTATTTTTGTGAAAGAATTTGAGAAAGTTAATATGTAGGTTTTACAATTTATGTTTGTAATTTTTCTTCAATAATTTAATTTTTCTGTATACCTTTCCACATATATTTACTGAAACATTCTTTTATTTCTCTGCAGTTAGGATTTGTGACTGTTTCTGTGAGTTATTTTATTTCAGAAAAATAGATTTGGTCTGAAGCTTGCCATAAATCACTCCAGTTCAGGACCGGTTCCTCCCCACATTGTCTCTAGTGCTTTCCTTGCAGAGAAGTAGGGAGAAAATTTTAGCAGGAGAAAACTGGTACATAAAACTTGCTGCATGAAGGCATCTCCTCCCTGAAGCAAGGCCAACTGGGAATTTGAGGTTTCAGAAGATCTCCCAGGATATACTAGTTTTTACAATGTCCTGTGGATAAACCTGCCTCTCTTTAAACTAGCTGGTTTGTAACTGCTTTGTTGCAGCAGTGAGAAGCTTAATTTGGGGCTGAACAGCCAGAGTGATTACCTGACCTATTGGATGGGTTTTGCAAAGTGCACAGAGCTGCATAGTGGTGTAGCTATCTTACCATTGCAATCAGGCCAACTTTTGTGATGCTGTTTAGAGTAGTGATTTTATTTTTCCATGCAGACAGATGTATTCCGAGCAGGCTGGTGGCAGCCTGTGAACTGCAGAAAGTTGGGTGTAGAACATACGAGAAACTGATTTTGTCTGACTGCTGAGGTCTTTAAACTAGACTGTTTCAGAACAGGCTGGAAGAAAACACGAATCCCAGGTGTTGGATGTTGCAGCAGAGTGCACGGAGGGCTGGCTGCCTTTGAACCTCGCAGGCAGGCGTTACAACCTGGCAGACAGAGCTGCCTCTGTGGTCATAAACTAATCCCTTCTCTTCAGGCCCCAGATTTGCCCCGAGCAGACGGACTGATACCTGTCTATCTTGACAACATGCTTTGAGATCTTGTTGTGTGAGGTCCAGGTTCCTTTTCGTAAGCTTTTAAAATCAGTTTCCTGAAACAAATTTATATAAAAGAGGAAATTAGTCTGCTACATAAACAACTAACTGCTGTGTGTAAGATAGCTGGAGAGTCAAATGGAAAATGAAAAAATTACAGCGATGTTTTTCACCTTCTTTTCCTTTTGAGTAGCTTTAAAAATATTTCTGAAAGTGAAAATGTAGATAAGACCACGCTTTCGCTCTTCCCAGAATGCTTAATTATGACTACCTGATTTTATTTAATTTTTCCTAGTGCATATTTCATGGCTATTAGAAATGCTTTATTCTCTCTTTTAATCTAAATTTGCCTTGACTTTACACATAGTTCTACTTATCTCTTTCTTTAAGCCCATTAAACCATGTCGCCCCATGACCAACAATGCTGGAAGACTATATCACTATCGAATTACTGTGTCGCCTCCCACAAACTTCTTAGTGAGTACTTTATAAATAATTCTAACTAGGACTCTAATTTTGTTTTCTATGATGGGAGCAATACTGCTTCTTGCTTACTCTGTGGGTTTGTTTGCTTTTTTTAGACAGACAGACCTACTGTTATTGAGTATGATGACCATGAATATATCTTTGAAGGGTTCTCAATGTTTGCGCATGCCCCTCTAACAAACGTAAGTATGTTCATTACTACATGTATGAGATTTGTTTAGAAGGTAAACTGTTTCCGCCCTGAAGTAGAACTTCTCTAAAACAACAATATATGTATGTTACAAACTTCTTGCCAGCACTGGGGACGGAGGAAAGATCTTTGTGCTAATGAGACTCAGGTTTTATCTTGACTAATTGTGGTAAGCATTGTCTTTGAACCGTTACTGAGAGAGACTGTGATGTGCATCAAAGTAATATTTTTACATGTTTCACAGTTTGGAAGTGAAATAAACCATGGAATAATTTGTTAAAACTGTTAATTGGATTTAAATTGGATGAGGAGGTTTGTTAAGTTGGAAAGTTTAAAGAAAGGGCAACTGCAACAATGAAAGGTTTTCCGTTCAAGTGACAAATCCACTCAAAAGGGATTATCTGTTCTAAAAACTTACCTAGGTGTATCCACTATTTTCTAATATCTGTTCAGCTTCTTCAGGAATTAAGCAAGTTCTGATTTTTATTGAAAGTTGTAGGCATTTAAAAGCAATTAATTTTTTGTTCTGAAAGCAAATATAACAAGAAAAGGACATGCTTGGTACCCGACTGCTCTGCTTTTCTGATATAAGCTGAGTTAGCTGTATCTGAATGAAAAATATGCAAGGACTTAATTTCTGTACACTTTAAGATTTTTATGATATCTTGATATTTCAAAAACTGTTTTTTCAAATGCAGTAGTGTTTGTTTATTTCCTTGGTTTTATACCTGTTACTGGCTACACCACCAATGCCAAAACCCAGTGTAAGAATGGTTATCAGTACAGGACTAAGATGTTAGAATACTGGAACTGAGAGGCATGGAGAAGAAAGCATTTTTTTCCTGACAATTTACTCCCATAATGTATGTGACAACACTTTACTTTTGGTGAGCAGGGCAAAGGGCTCTTGTTGACAAGAAATCAGTGAGAGAGTGGAGTTCAGCCTCTGGCTTGGCAGTGTGAAGCACTCCTGCCCAGTAACATTAACTCAGCCTTGGGGTTCAAGACAGATTTGTCCTAAGGCTTTACATTTTCACTTTGCAAACGAGCAAAAAGGAACAGTTTTGGTTTACTCTCGTTAAAAGGATAGAGAATATATATTATCTTTATAATCTTTGTTTCTACTGCATGACAGGAAGGCAGAGAGTTATGGAAATTTATTCTACACAGAGAGCAAGGAAAACTCTTCTTGTATGACACGAATAGTCAGTGAAGACATTGAACTTACTCTTACTGCAAAGTGCCTGTGTTTTCTCTCGTTCCAAATAGGGAAAGTGATCAGCAGACAATGATTATTTTTTTAGAGTTGAATACAAAGCAACACCGTATTGTCAATTCCTGTTGCTGACAGGTATAAAGCACTTTGGAAGGTGTCTCTTACTGTCTTGAAATGATTTTTGACAACATAAAAAATGCTGTTTGAGAGACATTTTGGAACACATTTGATAAAAGGGAGGTGGCAAAGGGTAGCGAAAACAGAGATCCAAACACCAACATCTTCAAATTACAGAAATTTTGTTCATTTAAAGTCTTAGCTTTGCATGCTGTTACAGGTCTTATTACTGTCATTACTGTTACTCAGTAGTAATTCAACAGGTCAGATGTTAGGGAAAATAGTAGAGTCATAAAAGTTAAGTTATATACTTATATATATACATATATATGTAAGTTATATACATATATATACACACATTTAAGTTATATACAAATTATGTATATAATTTTCTTAATATAACTGCCAAAACCATTTTATATTACCAATCGTGTGTTCCTTTGCTATGTATTTGCTTGTGTACATGAAACTAATTTATGTAGATTTTGATGGTGGTCACTTCTCTAAAGCATTCATTTTCTATTCAATACAAAGAAAAATACCCCTGGCTACTGAGTTTCTGAATCAGAATATCTTCTGGTTGAACTTACATGTTAGAAAGTAAGCAAACACTCCCTGTATGGTTTTTTTTTAATGCCCTGCTGATTTAAATGTGAGAGATTTTCCTCAGGTTGTAAATGGGACATTTGATTTCTAAGGGTTTTATTTTTGTATTCACATTTAACATTGTTTCAAATTGTAGGAAATACAATTTTTGTTTGGTTATTTGGTGTAGCTCCTTAGTTTATCATACAGATATCAACAGATTTTTGTAGACAAAGTAGTCAAATGTTTGACAGTGGGCTGAAAGAAGATGCAAGCAGAATATTGCACTTCTGCTAAGTCTGTTGATTTCAGTGCAACCCCAGCACGGTTCAGATATTTATTTGTGTGCTTATCAATGCAAAATAACCTTGGGTTGCCTCAGACCATTGAATTGTTCTAAGATTCTTTTGTGCTTGCCAGGCTAGTGAATAGTAGAACTTGCTAAGAGCTGTAGAAGTGTAAGGCAGAATTAAGCATTTCTGTAGTCTTGTATAAATTTAGCTTTCTTTTGTTTTAAAGAATCCCATTTAAAAAAACCCCAAACACACCCCTTCAGCAGTCCATGGACTTTGCAAACAAAGGAACCTTTTTTCAAAGGTGAAAACCAGGAATTAGATGTTTGTCTTACTAGTTAGTTGAGTGAACCGCTGTCAATGTGTATTTGATGAAATTAGTATAAACCTATAAATTTATCCTGAAGTTCTCACATTGTGTTGCCATGACTTAAAGCCATGTTTTATGACAGTATAGCTAACAGAATTGGCAGCGTGCAAAAAAACACTGTGCCTTCAGATCTCTGTATCAATCTGCCATGCTGTGTCACCAACAGTAAATTCGCTTCCAAATACAGAAGTCAGAGAAGATACGGGTTTACTGAGCTTTGCTTTTTCTTCTAAACAAAATTTCATCTCCAGTAGATGGCATTGTTTGATCTTCCTTTGTCGTCTCTTCTGTCAGCCCTGTGTTATTAGAGAGTGGATGTTAGAACTGTTACTTCTCGTGCACATGCTTGTGTTCCTGCCTTTGCATGATCCCCCAGAGCAGCTGTTTTCATAAGTCCCCTTTTCAGCAGACAGTAATACCTTTGCATACAAAATTGTATTAACTATATGTTTGATGCTGGATATTTTTTCATGCTGAATTTCTATTTTCCTTCCAGATTCCTCTATGTAAAGTAATCAGATTTAACATTGACTATACAATTCATTTCATTGAGGAGATGATGCCTGAGGTAAGAAGGATAATTAGTCAAAAAGTCAGAGTGGGTTATCAATTGTTGACATGCTTAATGGATTAAACGCTTCAGAATCCCATCTTGTGAGGTCTCTAAGAGACAGGCTGTGTTCTGAACGAATGGCTGAAAAGAAACTTCCACTTACAGGTACTAGCATAAATCCATCTACCTAGGCTATCGTACATTAAAATGGAATAGTAAGAAGCGCTTATATCCATAGCTTCTTTTAATTTTAAATTATATACAAGGTATGTCAGGTACTCTTATCTGTAAGCTGAGTTAGGCATTATCCTTCTTTTACAGATGACAAAAATAAGGCATATGGAGGTGCTGATTTGCCAGGACCACATAAGTTAACGACAGAGCTGAAACTTAATCATGAATTTGAAGCTCTGAAGATTGCTTATCAGTACTTAATATAAGCTGTTGCCAAAACAAATTTCCAGTGGATACAAACAAAGCACATTCAGTTCATAATCTCTTTTTTTTTTTATTGCAAATTAATCCCTGGTGAAGCCAGTTTGTGAAGTAAATTGCTGCAGTGGAACAGCATGTGTAGGTACAGAAACACCCCTGCATATTAACTACAAAGATAGGATCAGTGTTTAATTTAGTCACATATATTTACATTTTTCTTTCTAGTTATCTTTTTGTTGCTCAACAGCATCTAAATATATGCAAGAGCCCAGAAATTCCTTCTCAGCAAGATTAACATGATCAAAGCAATTCATTTTTAGATACTGAATCTGCTGTATTGTCTCTAAATCTTGTTCTAAAACAACAAATGGCCACCAAGCAAAATAGGAAATTTGACCTTTTTTGGACTCTAGTACTACAGCCATTGATACAGCAGTATTTGCAGAGTGTCTTTACTAATGCCTCCTTGCTAAAGACATTTTGTTGTTGGGTTTGGAATTTATGGCTGGTATCATACAATTTTCATCAACCTGGCCTGATTTTGTTTACTAAGGAAGGCTTTTTAAGTTCATTCATTTCTGAATGAGTGCTCTTTGCTTTAGAGAAGTTACTTCCCCAATTGATGAGAAGAATCTCTTTTTTCTTTTCTTTTTCTTTTCTTTTTTTTTTTCTCCTCTCCTTTCCTGTTTGCTCTTGAGGTCAAAGTCCTCAACTTGCGTTGTACTGATACACTGCTATGGAAGTGATCGTGAGATCACAGATGGTGATTTATAAACTTTCATTATGAACATGTAGGAAAAAGTGAATTATGAAAAAGATGCTTCTCAGAAATATGTCATATGCTTAGCTTACTCAGGTGAAAAGGATTTTAGTACGTGATGAATTATTGCAGATCCATAATTTCTGCCTGTCGTGTTGATTTGGACATTGACTACAGAGTCTTTGTGGCAGTGCTTTCTGAACAACGCTTTCTGAAGAGATCACTGTCTTACGTTACAGTAGATGATTACAGATATATCAATACTGTTTCCAAAGACAGGTGTCTAGTGGTTGACAAATATGAAGACACTGAGATTTTTGTTGTTTTATTTAAATATATTTGAGTGGCACTATTTGTGTTACAGTATTTTGTAATTATAATTCTGGTCTATTTTTTCTTTCCCCAGAATTTTTGTGTGAGAGGTCTTGAGCTGTTCTCTTCATATCTATTCAAAGATATTTTGGAGCTCTATGACTGGAATCTTAAAGGTAACTTCTATTTAAGGAAAAAAATCATACAAACCCCCAATTAATTGCAGCTTTTGTAAATAGGACTCTATATTGTTATGTTCTTTTGTTTAAAAAGAAAAAAGTGAGGAGGGCCCTCAAAAGAACAAAGTCAAATGCTGGTTTATATGAGAGGCACAAACTTCCACTTTGTTCTCCAAGATGAAATATATTAAAGTTCATTAGAGTGGGCTGTAGCAATTAAAATGCACAAACTTGGCACTGTATTCTTGCAGATAAACTTAATTTCTACCTTAATCCAAAACTGTTTTTTTAATCAAACAGTAAATATTATCGTGTGTTTAATATTGCACAGTATCGTGTGCATGGTATTTTGAAAGCCAAGATGTCAGCTAAACTATTCTCTCTGCTTTTGCAAGCTAACAAACAAGTTACTCATACGGTATTTCTCTACAGTCAACTTACAAAGCAGTGTCATACAGGCAGCCGTAGAGGGATAACGTATCATTATAGCTGAATGTTTTTGACTTGACAAGGTGAAAATACATGTTTCTATGAAGACTGCAACAAAGGAGAATTTCAGGGATGATCCTTCCCTTGATCTAAAAGAAAACCAAGAATACCAAAGGAATTTAATTTCAGAATCTGTAGGTGTGTTTTTATGTCTTGACTTTGTGTATGCCAATGGACTCTGCACTTACTGCAGTTAAACAGAGGAGCATACAGGTTTTATGCATTTTGTTTAGCCTTCTTTGATTTGATGTTAATTGTGTTCTTATATCAATGTTGTCTTTCATATCACTGGTTCTGATTGTTCTTTCTTTTTTAACACCAGGTAATTACTGGTTTTGTTTTTATTTTCATGATGAAATAGGAAACAAAAAACCCATGAAATAGCATCATGGAAATTTCCTTGTTGTCTTTGTTATTGTAACCAAAAAACACCCCACTAATTGGGAGTGACTAATAAACTAGCACTTGTATTTGTAAGACTAAAGTGAATTAATGATATAAAATAATTATTTTTTTCCTATATCACTGTTTTAAATAAAATTACTGGATTTTTTAGATTCTTTCTATTTTTAAATTCCTGTAACTTTCTTTGAAATTGTCCGTATGAAAGCTTTCACTAGAAGTTAACTCTGTTCCTCTCTACTGTTCATTTTTTTACTTTTCTGATTGAAACTTAAGACCTATCAAATTTAACCACCTTTCATTGATTTCATCTGTGACAGAGTTGCCTTTTCTTTTCTTCTTTTGCAAATACATTGCTGTTCATAAATTTTCCGTATTTTTTTCATATTTAAGGTCCTTCACTTGAAAATGATTCTGTTTGCTGCCCCAGATTTCACTTCATGCCGCGATTCGTGAGATTTCTTCCAGGTAATGTTTGTATTGTGTAGCCTTATGGAAATTAGATCTAAAAACCCCCCCAAAAAAACAACAAACCTGCAAAAAACCAACCCCGCAAAAAAAAAACCCCACACAAACCACAAACATATTGCAAGTCAAATGGTTCAGTTGGTGTAGAGATTTGGTGCTTCCATCTGAAGTCTTTAGTGCTTTCTGACAGTGTGGATGGTTTACTCTGAACTGGGATTCGGACAGGCAGGCCAAGCCTCGCTCCCAGCTTTTGTCTCTGCTGTTGTGATTTTAGGCAGTGCTGGGTCATCCTTGTCCTGTCCTGCGATGGAGCTGTGGCGGCATTTGAGGAGTGCTATTACCTAATCTCACATGTTAAACTGAATTTAATGTCCCCTCTGCTCTTCAGTATACTGTGTGATTATATTCTTGATGTGCAGTTGTGAGAGTCAGCATGATTGGCACTCCGAGTACATGTTCTGATTGTTTCTTTCTTTATCTTAATGCAAGCTTAGACCTTGCAGCAAACAGTGAAAGACAAAAAAACACCATTCCAGTGCAATTCAACCGTAGCCTGCTGGCAAAGGACGAGCTTCAGTGTGGAGTGTTATGTTCATTTTGAGTGAACAGCTTATGCAGGCATTTAACATGTCCTAAGATACTAGGACAGACTTTCAGTTGATATAAACGTCATGGCTCTGTTGAAAATGTGTCCTGCTGAGATCCTGCCAGTGATTGCTCCAAAGGGTTGTGTGGACAGGAGGATGCATTTCAGCTGCTGGACTGAGGGCGCAGATGAGACATGGAACAATCTTCATCAAGAGGGCTGTGGCCTGGAGGTGCTCTCTGCTCTGGGCTTTGAAACTTCATTGGGATATTAATTATAGCTGTAACTAAATGAGGTTTGGCTCGTTACTGTGGAGGGTACTGATGGCTAGATGACTATATTTCTAATTGTCGTTCCTTCCTGGATACACAACACTGTTCAATCAGAAGCAGAGCTCTGAGGCTTGCTAGCAAACATTGATTTGGTTCTGCTGAAGCAATTTACAAAATAAGCCATCAAGCCACATGTGGCTGATTAGCTTGACCTCGTCACAAAATGAGAGCAAGTTTGACCTGCCTGGTTTGTGTAGCTTGAGGGTGTTTTCCTGTCAGTTTGGGGTTTTCATATTCTGATTTATTTTAGTTTAGAAGTCAGCACTTTCTGCGCTGTTGGGTTGTTTACTGATAGGGAGAGATAAGTCTCTATAGCATGTATTCCTGTGTGCTTCCTTTTTAAAGTTCCCAACCTTCTATCTCTTTTTAAGAATATCTTTTTCCTGATATTTCTGCGTATATACTTGCCTTTTAGCATTTTTATGACGGATTTTTTTTAATCAAGTTTGCATTTTATATTGATTATTTTCTGAGATGTCCTTGGAGATTTTTAATTTCCAGAGAGTGGGAATCTATTTCCTTAAGGTATGTTTGCAGAATGTTATATATCTATTCAAAGAAGATATATTGGTGTAATTGATCTCCACACATCCATCAACTGTGTCTTTAATGATACAAATTAATTGCTGATTTCCCATCTCCTCTACTTTTCTTTCTTTCTTATTTTTCTAGCATGGTCTAAAAACAGGAGGTTTGGGATGTCAGATTGTCTACGTGGATTACTTAAGAGACCAGCCTTGGATAGCCCTGAGCTTTGAGCTAATTGTACTGGGTTTACTGAGTGCCAAAGGTGTATACATACTCCAAGTATGTGGAGTAGTTGCTGCGTTGTATTCATTGTGATAGATTTTTATCATGGTAAATATATTAAGAGAGTAAAAGACTAGTAAAAAACATTTGAGATCCCGGGTGCTGCATGTTCTGACACAGGAAAGATCAAGTCTTTAATTACTGTTTAGCACAGCCATCTATAGCAACCTGTACCCATCCTGTACATGGTCTTCAGTGAGTAAGGCTGCACTGTTTTTTTGTAGTGATTGTTGGACATGGGCTACGTCTTGCATGACAGCATAATCTAGTTGTTGACAAAGACAAAAGTCTTGTAAACTGAGTCCCTCTTAGTTTGACAGAAAACTTTTCACATTTAAAAAAGTGCCCCTGTAGCTATTTATAAATATTTCCGGTTTGGGGTATATTTTCCCCATTTAAGATTCCGTCTTGGAGTTTGAATGAGGTTAATTGTTCTAAGAGGCCAAGTTATATCATTCTCTTTCATCTTTCCTGTACCATAGTGTTGTAATCCCAGCTGAAGAAAGAGAAGCGCTTGTTCCCTTGTGTGCCTTGTAGAGGACATCATTTTATGCAATGCTGCTGTTACGCAGCAGTTCTGCAAGGCTTTTCCTGTACGCCTGAGATCACGTTCCTTATACTATGGCATTATCCCCCGTATTGCTCTAAGGCTTTACTTCTGGGTTTTCTCCATTCCTTTTTTGTGTGTGTAGTGATAGAGAATGTACTTAGTGGCAGGACCAGCTTACTCCTGCTCCCTGGGAAAGGGAAATCAACGTCTGTGCTCTGTAGGGATGAAACTGGAAGATGCCTCCATACCTACACATTAACACCCTGTTGTTGAAGGAGGGAGTCGGAGAGATGTGTGTCAAAATTAAAGCGCTGTAGTAACATGTCTGCTTTTTTATTTATATGAGCAGACTATCTCTTGCTCGTCTTTCCTCTTTGCATCTTCGCGTCTGTAACTGGCTACCTGGAGCCAGTCAGATGTTTGCTATACTGTCTTCCTTTGTTACAAGCAGCCTTTGCTGTGCATGTTTCCCAGGGTCTCGGAAGTATTTAGCAGCTTTCTTGTGCACTTGGTTCGTTTAGTGACAGAAGGCAGCATGAGGCTCTTTAGTCTTCCTTACTGCAGGTACAGCATGTAAACACTACAGATGAATTTAAAATGCAAGGATAACTTACTACATTCATCCAGAAGTATCCCGTAAAATTTTCAGTGTTCTGTAAAAAAGCTGCATAAAGGCCTAAAGGCTTTTTAACTACCATTGTAAAAAGAAATATAAAAGGAGGACATAACTGGACAATGTAACTGATTGTTCTGCCTACTCATTTTAAAGTTTTTTCAGGCAAGTTGGAAACTTCAGGTTTACAGTATGATGAAACTGTTACTCTTGCTACCGTTACTGTTGTTGCTTCCAGTTTAGCAAAATGTTTATGCATGTACAGTATTCATAAATAAAACATTTGCCTTCGTATTTGTCAAGTTACTTAAGCATTTTGTGGTTTATTTTGCTCAACCAAATATTTTGTGTTCTGCATATTTTCTCTTTTGCTCATGCTGTAGGAGTGAATATCTGAAGTGTGTTTCATTTATTTATTTATGTTTTTAAGATGGAGGAAAAGAAGTACTTTCAATGCATCAGATTCTTCTCTACTTGTTACGATGCAATAAAGCTCTGGTGCCTGAAGAGGAGATTGCCAACATGCTTCAGTGGGAAGAACTGGAATGGCAGAAATATGCAGAAGAATGCAAAGGGATGATTGTTACCAGCCCTGGCATGGTAGAGCAAATAATTTTGATTTATGAACAATCCAATGACACGTGCATGTCTTGTTTCAGAGGGTCTGCTACAGGCTGAATTGGAAAGGGAAAAGATGGCCCGTGACAGTTGCAGATTGCTATATGAACAGTTCATGGACGTGTTCCTACCCTGGGAAGAATTGCACCCTCTGCTGCCCTATGGAAGGGCAGATTTCCAAATGAGCACTGTTTCAATGTGCACGTTAAAAGGAACAGCTATATTTTATTGTATGTGAAACTGTAGTTTGCTCTTCTGCTGTCTTATTTTCTCAGTGTTTATGTGCATGTTCTCATTTTCTTTTCCCTGACACAGGACCAGAGAATTAGTAACTGTTTGCTCTTTTCTTTCATCTTCCTCTTCTGACTCCTGAGTTCTATTTAAAGTGCTCTATCCAGATTCTGCCCTGAATATGAAAAAGGTGTTTTCTGCCTATGTTTTTTTTTCCACATTGTTTCCATGTTGCTCTCACTCACAGTGAGAAATTTTGTGTACATTAATGAATGCATCCATTAATTTTCAGTGCTAAGCTTGAAACCCCTATGGCCTTATTATTTTTGGAACAATTAGTATTTTAAAGCATATGTTATCCAAACATAGCTCCTTTCAACTCATGTTTATGTGAATTTAGGCCATTTTTCTGACTTTCACGCTTAGGAAATGTGGGCCACAAGAATAGATGATGTCCATTAAAAGCTGCAGGATTCTTTTCGTGTGGTTTGGTCAGTATCGCAAAGTGGTATCTCAGTAGTAGAGGCATGTTTTGGACCTGATATTTTAGACTTGATTTTTCCTCCTTTGCTCATACCTCAACTTCTTAGCATCTCCAAAAAAAGTGTGACTTGGTATCATGCCTAAGGGGAAATTTATTTTGCTAACTGAAAAACTTGTCCCCAAACTGCAGCCAGGGTAACTTCCTAAATAAGGGTAACTTCCTAAATATATTTTTCAAGTTCATGTTTTTAAGTATGGCAGCATTACATTTATAAACTGCCTTATAAGCTAATCATAACTTGGGCAGGATAATTTATTTTTCCCTTGATTTCATTCTGAGTATTTTCATTCTGGCTAACACTGTGTAGACCAAAAGGAAAATAAGATCATCTGTGGGAACATAAAATAGAGAATACATGTGAACTGTCAACATGGAAAATTCTTCCTTAGCTAGTTAAAATTGAGTGCTAAATCAGAATCTCATAATAGAAGTTGTTAGACAGCCGTAACTGTTTAACTTAACGTTGTCTGTGGTTTCTGTGATACACAAGCAAGTCATCAGCATCTGAGTGGTATATGCTGACATAACTTCAGTGGTTTTACTGAAGATATGCTCTTTTCAGCTAGCTGCAAACTTACTTTTTTGTTTAGCGTGAAGGAATGTATATATGCTCCTTCCATGTGTCACTGAACTGTAAATGTCTGTATGCACAAGGCAGTGCAGTTTGTGAGTAGTAGCGTTAATTTTGAGATTTTGTGTGATTTTACTGACTAACTTTGCATTCTACAAGACAACGTTTTTAAACGTGTGTGTGGACATCAAAATATGTAAGCATAAAAGAAATCTGCAGCACTTTGAAGCCTTGTCATGTTATAATGCCATCATTAGAACATGTTTTTTCTCTCAAGAAGATTGCAATGACTTTCTTTTTTGTTTGTGGATTTTTTCTGTTCATTGCAGCATATTCTATTAAGTATGAAAGTATTTTCTATGCATTTTACGATGTTAGCAGATGAAGCAGTTCTGTTATAGAGATAATGTGAAACTGGTTTAGAAAATGACAGCTCTTCAATTTTATCCACTTGACACAACAAAATAAAAATACTGAATTTTATTTTGCTGCTTTCCTCCATGACATCACTTCAGAAATAATAATTCCTCTTCTGAGTAGATCTAGGTTTTGTATTATGTATTTTATGTTTTTAGAAGTGAGTTGTATGTATACATGATGGAGAAAGGCAAAAAAATTGATAGATATGTAAGTCCCATTTACTTCAACAATAGTTCAGCATTAATTAAAACCATTTAATTTATTCACGGTGTTTCCTTAGTTCAGTGAAACTTTGTATTGGAATAGATTTTAAGCTCACAAATTTTAATCCTCTTTAATACTTCACTTTTTCTAAACTATTGCTGCTTTTCTTGTTAGTACAGATATATATGTATTTTAACATACTTTGGTACTACATCTGCATGAAATCTCATGTCTTCTAATATCAGCAAAGCCTTGGTTGAGGTTTAGAGTAGGAAACAAAGATAATGGGCCTCTGTTTTTGATAAGATGTTAAAAGCAAGGTTGTGATTATTAGATGGTCTCTCACAGCACTTTTGAAAGATTGTGGGGATAAAAATCTGGAAGAATAACATCTAATTTGCTTGCATCCTGCCTGCTGGTGTGCAATTTATGCTGTATGTTTCTGTATGGTGCCGCTTGTTCATTTAACCTTCAGAAACAGCAGCAGAGAGGAAGCAAGTGTTCACCGTGCTGAAGGAAAAAAAGCATAGCCTAGCTACACCCCTCCGAACCGTCAGTGAAAGAGCAGTTAAGTCTTAAAGGAGTTCTTTTGTCCCTGTTGTGGTTGGCTGTGTAACTGAGGGACAAAACTCAAAGGCGGTGGCGTCTCAATAGAGAGAAAGAGTCTGGTTTTGAGTGGTCCCTAGGCCACCCCTTTCGCACAGACCCTGTGATAGGTGTCCTGAAAGCTCTTCTCCCGTTCACACTTTCGAGGATCCGATGGCTTCTCTTTAAGTGTCTAAAATGTGAAACACTTGGATAGGAAATTATTCTCTTTAATGTTAAAAATATGTTGATTGTAATTCATGTGTTGAGTATAGTTATTGTTTCGTATTCTGTTAATCGTATTTTGCTGCCTTGGTTCTCAGACGAGTTGCTGTATAGCAAGGCTGCTTTATTGAGGGGGGGATGAGGATGGGACAAGTTCCTCAGTTTTAATGTGAAGAGAGGGGAGAACCAACAAAAAACTTTTGTGAAGATAAAACTTTTCAAATTGGCTTTGTGCAAACACCACAAAAACAGATGAACTTAAATTTCAGGACTTTAAGCTCCGATTTAGAGAACAACATTCTGCCTGTTACAAATCCTCCCCATATTTTTCATTAGATTTTGTTGTCCTAATTCTTTTTTATTAGAAGTGCTGTGAGGAAAAATTTTTATTTTTATTTTTTTTTAAAAACCTGGCAACATGAGCTAACTAACTTAAAATTATTTTATTTTTCTCTTTTTTTGGCTGGGGAGATGTAACTTTATATTCAGTCATCATGTCCAAAGTGAAGCTGATAAGTATTTTCCCTTGGAAAATGTTTCTCTATCTGAATGTCAAAATTTTAAGTATGTTTTTGTTTTTCTAGAATATATTGGAAATGTGTCCACCTGATGAGGCTTACCTTTATTTCTAGAATGCTTATCCAAGCAGAAAATTATTCCTGTGAACAGTTTTACTAAGGTGCTTTGAAGGGTGAAAGCTTTGTTCTTGACACAGTTTTTATTGTTTTGTGAAGAGAATGGTGGGACCTGTTTCTGCAAGTCTGAAACTCATCTTTGAGTAATTCACAGGGCTAAATCAGAAGTTTTGAGATTCAGGTAACTAGAAGTAATGCCCTTTTTCTGAAACTTAGACAAGCAGAAAGTGTTGGCCTCATCCAGCTGATTGCAAAGTGGGGGGAGTGAGCAGGCACATAACAAAGCAGCTTACCAGGTAATGGAGAAAATGTTTACTTGGAGACAAACTCTGCACCTTCAACTGAGTTTTTAAATATGTTAGATAAGTAATCGAGAGCTCTGTAAGCAGCATGTCTTCTACGGTGATGTGCAATTACTCATTTTCTGCGTTTTTAGAGGTGAAATGAAAGTTGCCTCCTTCTACACTGTGCTTTTTGACTATAAAAAGAACTTTTGTTTTGAAGTGTAAAATGGACAAAAGTCTCTTCATTATAAAAGACTGTATTCCTCATTGTACCTTGCAGGTTAGGAGTCTTTTCTAAGAATAGCATGACAAAAATTTTTTTTTTAATGCTGTTTAGTTGGTGTAATTGAATGGATCTGATAATGGCTTCACTTGCATTGGGAAATCGGGAACAAAACTAATGTTACAGAGGTAAACTGATCTTAGCGATCTACTCGGTCATGTGGGAGCTTGGATGCCAGAATGCTAATCCTGATTTTATTTCTGGTGTGAAGTTCACTGAAAGAAGGTTACTTTTAGTTCTTGGAAATAATCAAACTGTAAATTTCCTGACATAAAATGAAAAGAAAAATACTTCCTTTTTTCACTGGACAAGCTAAGTCAATTAACTTTTTTTCAGTCATTGTCATTGCCAAATGTTTATTATAATATTAGTGATTAATTTTATGTGTGGTTTAATAAGCTTGAGATATTGCTGCTTTGTGGTTCCTGGATAGTGTGGGCTACAGGCAATAAATTTTTCATGGAGCTGTTGTCCATTAGGTATATTTTGTTTTTTCTCCTAGAAGCCCAGCTCAGTTCGTATTGATCAACTGGACCGCGAACAGTTCAATCCTGATGTAATTACTTTCCCCATTATTGTTCACTTCGGGATACGACCTGCTCAACTCAGTTATGCTGGAGATCCTCAGTAAGATGCTTTTCCTTCCATCTTTCATTCAGAAGCTCATTACTGTTGTAATTTGTGGCTTAAATAGAGCTTGTTTATGTGTTAGAGTCTGATATAAAGCTCAGTGCTTATGGTATTGGACACTAGCTCTTGTAAATTAGACAATATAAGGTATAACTTCTTTTTTCAACGTAATTCAGCATCTGTGGAAGTAAACGTGCATACATGTGCACATGAAATTTCTCAACCTGAGAACAGCTCTTCTATGTCAGACCAAAGGCTACCTCAAGCTCCATGTTATTTCTCTGAGAAATTTGAGTTGCAGGTTTTTAGAGAGAGAACAGCGTAACAGGAAGACATAGGGGGAGGAATACTTACCCAGGCTTCCAAAGGTCTGCAGCATATGGACTTCTGAGATAGAAGATGTGTTTAGACCAATTTTAACAGCCCTGACTGGACCTTCCTTCTCTACGTTTCTCAAATCACTGTTTGAATCTTTTAATGCTACTGACAGAGAGAATATTCCAGTTCATCACTTCCTCAGTACTATTGTGCATCATATGAAAGAGGATTGACTTTTGTTTCAGAGCTGCTACTTGATCGTTTAATTAGATGCTCTTCAGATCTTACATCTAATAGTGAAAAATATATCTGTTTTCTGTTTGCTTTCTTCATGACATTTATGTCTCTTGCACCCTACCGTATCCTACTTAGTTGTCTCTCTGTATGCTTTGAAGGATCAAGTCTACATACTGTTTCCTAGCTTGGAAGCTTTTGCGTCCATGCTGCTTTTCTCTGTACCTTCTATATCCTTATAGAGATTGCGAGGGGTATAGTGAAGGAATGGAGAGGGAATCAGAACTTCAGACAGAGCAAGAAATACTGTTTCAGTGTGGATTTGTGTAGTGGCATAAAAGTGATTGCTGGATTTTATACGCAATTCTTTTCTTAATTTCTGACAATTTCAGGGAACTAACTCTTCCAATGATTTGGAAATCTATTTTCTGAATAATGACAAACAGTATAGAGCCCATCTCTTGTGCATATATAGTTAAAGTTGTCTTTTTCCTCATACATTTTCCTCCAGAGTCTCTTAAGGACATTGAACTTCACCTGTAATTTTGAAGCCAAATCAATCGTGTGTGTGTATGACAGACATATTCTTCTACAACTCCTTGCTGAGAATTTTAGATTTAATATGGTAGGAAGTGGGAAGAGTGAGTGCTTATTCAGATAATACTATATTTTCTTTTGGCTTTGAGCATGACTTTTAATCCTCCTGCTCTTTTAGTTTTCTTATCCATAAAAAGTAAATAATTATACTAAAGAATAGAACCACCTCTATATTGATGCTGAATTTCTTAACATTTGTAAGGTTCTAGCACTATGCATTGAAAACAGTATAAAGATACAAAAATTATTCTTCACATGCTTTTTTATTTCAACTTTCTTTAAAATTTCCATGGCTTCCCCGCCCCGCCCCGAGCTGCTTACAGAATGTAGGCGTGCTTCTTTTTATCAAAGTAACAAAGCAGTTTTTGTGAAAGACCTCTGTGATGCCATGATAAATCTCAGGCTTAACTCCAGTGTATGTGTGAAATACATAATTCCCAGAAAAGATTTTCCTTTGGTGATTCTTTTCTTTATGAGGTTCTAATACAGAATTTTTGTGGATTTAATCTATTTCTTATTTCTCAAACTTAACTGCAATCACAGAGCTTGTTCCACCCTTATTAATGCTAGTAGTAAAATGTATATTGTAGATCATAGTTTCAGGATTGGGGTTGAAACCTTCTCATGGCATTTGTTTGTTTTCTGGTTGGTTGATTTGTTCATTAACCCATTTTTCTTCTTTGGATGGGAATTTGTCAGAAATAGATGTGCTATTCTGCAGATTGCAGAAATGCGGAGAACAAAGCATAAGAAAAATGTATGGATTGACCATTTCAGATGTGTTTATAGACTCAAAAAATATCAGCATCTCTGGAGGCAGAGAGTATACATTCAAGAATGCTGAAGAGAAATAGCTATGGAAGAAACACCAATAAGAAAAGATCTGTTTGTATGCCTATGAATGTAGGATGCTGGGAAGATTATGAAACAGTGAAAGAGCTACTCCTTCATTTACTGCTTTGCCACTTATGTGCTAACTTCCGACTAAAACCACTGTTCTAAGTTGATGCCAAGGAGGATCTTCTTTTATAGTGTAAACATAAAAGAAAATGAATTACTTGAGTAAACTTCTTCCCTCTGTCTTCTAATTCCTTGCTTCCTATTAAAAGTCTGGTTTTATGGGTTCTCTTGAAAAAACTCTACAGAGGTGGTACTATTTTGAAGATAGCATTGTTTCCTAAGGACATGAGGTCCATGTGATGATTCTCTTTATCGCTTCTCCCATAGTAACTTTCGAGCCTGTTGGTCAATTGCAACTGAATGTAATGGTGGGATGTTGTCTGTAAATGGAGTAAGTTCTTACAAGTTCTGTGCTAGATCAAGGAGAGGGTCCCACCAAAGAAAACGTTCTGTGAAGTGCGTGTGTCATTAGACATCCCAAAAATATGATAAGGCTAGATGTTTGGAGAAAAACAGAAGCCATAAGTATATGCTAACCACAGAGAACACTTGACTTGCCTTGTCCATTCAGCACAATCCCATAAGGAATGAAACTTTTATTTCACTGTTCGCAGAATGACTTCATGTTGCACATGACTTGTAGAGCTCTTTCTCATGCACTTCACTGAAATGTTTCCACCAGTGTAAGGACAGACACTTCTTGGGAGAGGTTACTGCTGCTTTTCAGTGAGTGATAAGTAAAGCCTGTAGAGAAGAAGGAGTTTTCACCTGCCTGAATTGAGGCGTCATGCTGTGGGCAAATCTTTCCAGCATGCAAGGTGGCCCTTTGGAGAGGACGGGTGGGTATCTGGGAGACCTGGATTCTGCCCTGAGCTTTGCTGTTCACCTCACGCTGCACACTAATGCCTCCTCTCTGTTGTTGTGTCCATCCCGCTGGAACAACTGAAGAGACACTGTCACGTCTCTTGGAAAACACTTTAAGATTTTTTTCTGGAGAAAAAAGATGCTTGTAGACAATCTGTGTGTATATGGGTGCATTATTAGCAGCTGGTGTGTTCCTAAGGACAAATGATGAGAAAATTTTATTGTATCAACTGAAATACTTGTTTTCTGTTTTTTTCCTTCAGATACCAAAAGCTGTGGAAGAGTTACGTGAAGCTGCGTCACCTGCTGGCTAATAGTCCCAAAGTCAAACAGGCTGATAAACAGAAATTATCACAAAGAGAGGTATGTTGAGCCTCCTTATAACTGATAATTGAGCATGGTAATTCAGGATGGAATAAAGCCATATGACTGCCCTGTTGATGGAAACAATAGAAATCCTTCAAAAAAATTTTCTTTTTAGGCCGTTAACACTGATTTTATTTTTTATCTTTACTTGTTAGTAAATGGATTTTTTCCTTTTTTCAACTGTCAAACTCTTGCAAGTTTTTTTACCGAATTATAGAAATGATCGTTATAGAACCGTAACTTCTTTATAGCCATTGCCATTAATGGTTTCAAGAATTAGCATAGAGAAGGACTTTTTATTTCAGAGTGCACTTTTAACTGGCTCATAATTTTAAACATTTCTCTTCAGAGATAAAAACTGCCACACTTGTGCATGGTTTTAAACTGTAATTTATTAGGCAGTCTTAGTGATGTTCCTTAAGATCTTTGAGTCAAAATCATCTGGTTGTTGTTATTTTCAGTAATCTTTAATGACAAATGAGGTATTTGTTGTGTTTTTGTCTTTTTTCTTCTTTTTTTTCCCCCTAAAGTGATGAGCAATAAGCATTTCCTAAGTGCAGATGCTCAACCAATTGGGAATTAAAATGAGAAAAATAAAGTCACCTAAATATAGACTAAAGCAGCTTGCTCTCAGGTATCTATCTGTTTAAGATCTTGGACTGAAGCTTTGAATTTGACTGGTGCATGTCTGCCAGGCACTCTTAATTGGACAACTTTCGTAAAGAATACATAGAGGAGAAATTAACTTCTTTTGTAGCAGATGGAATTTAATTAAGTGGTGTCATATTTTTATTTATCGATTAGAAACCCTGATGATTTGTAGAGTCATAGACTATCCTGAGTTGGAAGGGACCCATGAGGATCATTGTGTCCAACTCCTGAGTCTTCCTCAGTTTCCTAGTTGTGTAGCTTTGGTTGCAGTAAATGTTTGATACATTTGACATTGCGCCTGATTTTTATTGTTACTGCAAAGCATAGTATGCTGTTGCATTAGCAAGAGTCTTATTTAACATTTTATTTATGCTGATAATAAATAAGCCTTCAGGTTCCTTACTTGTAAATGGGTGAAAACCACAATGTTGTGACTTAACTCTGCCACAGTTGTAAGGAAAAAAAAAATGTTGTCCCTATAGGAGATGATTTTGTTTGCTAAAGCATTCTACACTCAGAGAGAGTAGAGGGGAAGACCATTGTTTTATAGGCATGTTTTCATTAGGGGCTGATGGATAACTTATTTGTAAAATTGTAGCGGATTTGATGTAAGGGGGTGATTATGTTTTGCTTCAAAAGATAAAATGCTCCTTCGGTATTTATCACCTACTGTGTGGTGTGCTGATTTTTGTTCCTAGACTGTGTTATCTAGGATAATGGGTTTATCAAGTCGTTGTCTGCCATCTGAGAGGCATACAGGAGCGAAGCAGAAGCTTCATGTGAGGATAACCTATGCATTTTGCCAATGGATGTATCAGTAACTTAGAGCTGTAGAGCTGCACCTGACTGGTACATGGGCTTTTAAATATTGAGTCATATATTATGAGTAACACTGGAGTGCTCCTGAGCCAGTCAGCCTGAAAGTACAGCTAGGTCTAGCAAACACTGCAGGACCCATCTCAGAAAACACCCAATGACACAGCCCCAAAATGCAAATTTTAGACAACGCACAAGGGGTACAGTGCTCTAAGCATCACTGCCATCAGTCATTCGCTAATACGAGATTGTATGATGTTCTTATTTGTGACAAGGTCGTGCCTGAGGGCTTTATTCCTCTAACCTAGCTTTGAGTGTTTACAGCAGGTGCATAAATTGGGACCCGAAGGCTCACTTTCAAGTCAGTGGAGAGAGAAATGCATTTTTTGAAGCCGTTTATCCCCCTTCATTGAATATAAAAGGAGCAGAACTAACTAGCCACCTACCCTAGATGCCTCAGTATTGAGGTGTCTTGAGGTTTGACGAATCCGCATCTGGATAGATGTGCCTCTTGGAACCATTCTGTGAGTCTCTGCAGGATGGAAGACAGAGCCTGTTCCTGCCCAGAGATGCTCACATGCTTCAGACTGGAAGCTGGGAAGAGGTGGCTTTGAACAAGTGCCCTGCAGTGAAAAGGAGAAGGAAAGGGAGAATGAGTTGCAGCTTTGAAAAGTTTCATGTTCTAAAGAAGGAAGAGGACTGAAGGAGTCTTTACCATTAGTGCATGCTGTGTGGGGAGCTTGCATACCCTGAGGGCCTTGTAGTATTGGAACCAGGAGGTCCTGATCCAGGGATGATTTATTTTAGCTGGTTTTTATTCATTCCATTTTTACAGAAAATATTTTCTTTTAGTGATTCTTTCAGAATCTTTTAATGATTCTGTCCCTTTCAATAGCTTTTAGAGATAAATAAACTGTTTGCACAACACTAAACAGCCAGTGGTCAAGGCAAAACAGATACTTTTTTTTTGAAAATTTTTTGATTGAAATAATATTGGTAGATTTCATCATAATAGGCTCCGGGACTAGCGAATGCTGACTCCTTTGTCAGACTGGGAGTACTGACAGTGTTGAACAGGAGCTGTTATGAGGTAGCCGAGATCACAAAGCAAAGCCTTTCTTTTACTTAGTCTATTATACTCCTACTGAATGCTTCAAACCAGGAGTACTCATGGTGATGGACTTGTATGGAGAGATTGTTTTGCACACGAGGGTAAAGAAAGTGCTTTCATTATAAGGACTGTAAGTTGCTTACTTATGTATAATTTTGGATGCATGAGTTGGACTGGTTTGCTCTGTCATTTGCGGTAAAAAATGTAGTCACCTCTCTTCTTGTTCTGCCAAAATCCTCTTTCTACACTGTAATCCACCACAGTCTGCAGCTGGCAATTACAAGATTTGGACTAGTCTTAGAAACTGCTTACCAAAAGCAAACCTTAAACGGGTATTGTGAATGCACTTATGGGTGCATTGGTACTGCTTTGTTGTAGAAAGTTCTTCACAGGAGCTCTGCTCTCTCCTTGTCTAGGAAGCACTGCAGAAAATTCGTCAGAAGAACACAATGAGACGTGAAGTGACCGTCGAGTTGAGTAGCCAGGGATTCTGGAAAACAGGGATACGCTCTGATGTCTGCCAGGTGATTGAAGTGCAGAGATGTCTGATGTATTTTCTTTCTTGATAGTTGCCATTTACCTCTTGCAAGGCTTTGCTGTGATTCTAGGCTGAAGAACCAAACAGAAATTAATACTTTTGCCTCAGTAACATCTGTTGATTTAGGGAAGTATTTTAGTGTCCTGTCCGCGCCTTCTACACACACAAAAAGATATTTTAAAGTTTCATTTTTCTTCCTACTGGTTGATTAGCACAAGGGAGAGGGGGTAGGCTTGAGGCTGCAGGTTATCCAAATGTTCAGTCTAGTGTGGAACTCCAAAGGCTTCTTCATCCATCTATTGAGTTGGTTTTAGATATTTTTTTAAAAACAATTTTACGGTGAAGCATGAAGAAATATCTTTTTTCTTGAAAGAAAAGAACCCACCACAACTAACTTGGATTAAAACAATGACCCTCAGTAGGAAGATATCTTTCATGTGCTCTGTTTCATATGCGTGACATCTCTAAGATACAGATCTCTACCAGATCCTATTCTGAAGCAGTTTACAGCCACCAGCTTTGTGATATGATAAAAAATAGTGCAATTTTTATGTAATACTGTATTAGTAAAATTCCAGTAGTCATAAGAGCCAAATAAATATGATATAGGTATACTTGCATCATATTTTTAGCTGTTGTTTTGGAGATGTTATTTAAGAATTAAATGCTTACAATTTAATAGTAACTTAACAGTGTGAAGTGTAAACTTTGAGGTTTGCTAGGCAAAAGTATAGGTAGAAATTCTGTTTAGAAGTCTGATAAAGCTGAAGGGGAAATTCTAACAGGAGAGAAGTGATAATTAAAATTGCTTTTCTTCTGTCTGAAACATTTCTTGTGATTCTACTATTGCTTCTGAAGATAAAGAAAGAAAATATTCGAACAGTATCTTCTCATATAGCTGAGAAAAATTACAGCCTTTTTCTAATTATTTGTTGTGAACTATATTTTTACAAGTTAAGTAAACAGTGTAAATTTCTAATTTAGGAGCTTTGAAACAGTTCTGCGTTATTCATAATGTTTTGTGTGATTCATCTCTTAATGTCTTCTTGAATATTCCTGTTTGGTTTTGTTGTTGAAGGACAGCAAAACACCAAAGAACGATGAAAGTAAAGCTATTTCATTTTTTTGTGCCCATCTGCAGCCATAATATCTAAATCAGCCAGTTCTGGTATGAAGGTCCTTTGATTTGATTTCTTTGAGAGGCCTGGAGTAGGCGAACTGTATGTCTGTAAAATGAAGGATTGCTGCTGTTGCTACGTGCTTTTTCCCTGATTAAAGAAGACTAAATACACACAAGTCAACTCTGTGGGCAGAGCTAAAGTGTGGTGATTTAAAATTAATGCTTTTAAAAGCATTGCTGGTTAGAAAATTGAAACTCTTTTAAATCACTCTGATAGCTTATAGTTGCTCTGAGTTCCACATAGCAGTATGGACACTGTCTTTGCAGTCTCAAAAATGAACCACTTAGAGGGGGAGGAAAAAGGGTGAGTGAAACGTTTCAAAAACATAAAATGGCTGTGTTCTGCCTAGCACACTTGAAATTCTCCAGTAGATGAAGTGCACTACTTGGCCACTAAGCTGGGCAGCACTTACTATGCAGTCTGGCAGGATGGGGCCATGCTGAGAAGATACTACACACGCACAGCCCCCATCATTGCCTGTATTGTTGCTGGTGTGCCTTCAGCAGCTGTTTTAAGTGTACAGAGTGAGGAGAGAAAGGATGTATTTCAGAATATTTTGGCTCACCTGATTCTTCTTAGGAGCTTCAGGTCATGAGCATCTGCCAGCCTGGGGGATGGTGGCACTAGCTGGGGCACTTGAGAGAGTCCCTGCCTTGCCATGCCAGCTGCAGCAAGAAAAGAACATGTGGCATAGCTAAACCATACATATTTACAAACAAAAACATAAGTTACTTGTATGTTTAGAACCAGATGCAAGTACCAAAGTTATGGGATAACTCCTGTGGCCATATGGTTTCAGGAGACTTTTTTTAATCACTAGCCATTCTTCAGCCTAATACAATTTTTAAAGCATGTATTTTCTTATTAAAAGAGAAACACATAAACCATCAGAAACATCAAATAGCTATAATCCAACAAGATACACATTAATTGAATCAATCAAATATTTAGTACCGTGAAGGCAGCACTTTGTCAATGTAACTGCAAGAGTCAAACGTAAGGCCTTTTGTGTGCTCCCAGGGAGACATCAATTCTTCGTTCACTGCACCATAGCAGATAAAAATCTAAAACTTTGTATTTGAGTTCTCAAATTTAGGGCCATAAGTGTTGGTATAAAGAATATTAAACTTTGCCTGGGGGACTTTTTCTGCCTAGTGCAGTGAAACATACAGGCAGGGAAGCAGAGTTGTCCCATGAAACAAGTTTAGAGTTGTTGGTTTGTTTTGGTTTGGTTTTGTTCTTTTTTTGTAGTGAATTCCTTCTATGAAAGAAGACTTAGGAAGCACACCTTTAGAGTTTATATGGAGATAAGAGGGATGTTCCCGTAGCTTCTCATTACCCTAAGAAAACTTTAAATGAGTGACATGGTAACAAAATAAAATTTCACTTACATTTACTCAGTTTGCATGAGTTTGCATGGAGTGGTTTGGCATTTTTCTGCCGTTCAAAGATCCACACAGTCTATTTCTTGCTGTTAACTAGTTCCTAGAAAAGGACCTGGGAGTGCCGATCAATAGCCAGCTGACCATGAGCCAGCAGTGTGCCCGGGTGGCCAAGAAGGCCAATAGTATCCTGGCTCATATCAGAAATAGTGTGGCCAGCAGGACCAGGGAAGTGATCGTCTCCCTGTACTCAGCACTGATGTGACCACAACTCAATACTGTGTTCAGTTTTGGGCCCCTCACTATAAGAAAGACATTGAGGTGCTGGAGCGTGTCCAGAGAAGGGCAACAAAGCTGGTGAAGGGTCTAGAGAATGAACCTTATGAGGAGCAGCTGAGGAACCTGGGGTTGTTTAGCCTGGAGAAAAGGAGGCTGAGGGGAGACCTTATTGCTCTCAACAACTCCCTGAAAGGAGGTTGTAGTGAGGTGAGTGTCAGTCTCTGCTCTCAGTTAACAAGCAATGGAACAAGAGGAAATGGTCTCAAGTTGTACCAGGGGAGGTTTAGATTGGATATTTGGAAAAATTTCTTTACTGAAAGGGTTGTCAAGCACTGGAACAGGCTGCCCTGGGAAGTGGTTGAGTCACCGTCCCTGGAGGTGTTAAAAAATGTGTAGATGTGATACTTTGGAATATGGTTTAGTGGAGGACTTTGCAGTGCTAGGTTAATGGTTGAACTCTGTGATGTTAAGGGTCTTTTCCAACCTAAATGATTCTATGATTAACTTCCAACGATGTTCATTTCTCAAGAATTTTACAGTCTTTTACTTAAACAGAAAGTATTGCCTTTGGTTATTCTTAACTTCTCAATCTTGCAACATTCACCAGTTTGTATTTTCTGCTGTTCTTTCTTTAACATGCAGAAATTCATAACGTCATTTATTCCATAAATTATCCATCATCTACTTTGTATGCTTGTTTTTCTTGCATTTCTCCACTCTATACACTTGTCTTCTGTAATTGTACACATTCCTCTTCCTGAAATTAATAGTGATAGCCCTCAGATTTTGATTTCCTTAAAATACATTATTCTTTTGAATATATTCATGTCATGTCACTAATAGGAATGATTAGAAGAACTGAAATTTGGTATCATGTCACAAAAGTGGTCACATACATAAAATTCTTTAAATACTGACATTTCTTCTGTAGCTCTTACTTTTCACTCTTACGCAAGGTTTTTGATGTTGATATACTTGCTCTACTATTGCACTGATAAACTATATTACTTGCTTATTTCAACCCAGATCCATCCAAAGTTAATATTAGTGTTGAATTCCTGCACTGAAAGAGGGAGACTTTCGTTGTCGCACCATAGAGTTAGTTAAATTTTTATTGACTCTTTTCCCAACAGAAAAACGTTATTTCCTAGATGATTAAACAGCAACCTTCTGATTTTTTTTAACACATTAAGCCAGGAAATTCCAGACTACAGCATTTCAAAAAGCCCTTAATTCTTCCTCGGTAGGAAATGAAGCAAAGCACTAATAACTCTTTTTCAAAATTAAGTAGCTACTGTTGTTTGGTGAAAGCTGGTTAAAGTGATATAAAAAGCTTCTTCCTTTTGTTCATCCTTGGCAGTAACCTAACACTCCAGGATGTTAAATGAGAAGGTGCAAACATATGCCATCGTATTTAGTCACAGCTTGTTGAAAGTTGATGTTACGATGTTACTAGTGACGAGATGGTTTTTTACTTCATTCAAAATACTTAAGTGGAAGACTGGTTTTGTGTATTTATTTATTTATTTAGTCTGGATGGGGCTATGTCCCCACTATGATTATGCAGATGGACAAATCTGATTTAATTAAGTTCTCTGATGATGAAAGTTGGGAAAACAATGGTATTTTTTTTCTCATTTAAACCAAAACAGTAAAACTCAGTGTTGTGACAAATGGAAAATGTTTGTATTTGTACCTTGGTCAGCTGAGTACTCTGTACACTAAAGTCAAATACTTGTCCTTATTGCAATTGGTTTTTAGCACGCAATGATGCTTCCTGTCCTCACCCATCATGTCCGCTACCATCAGTGCCTGATGCATTTGGACAAATTGATAGGCTACACTTTTCGAGATAGGTGCTTGCTGCAGGTAAGATATGAAAAAATAAACTACTTGTTGGTTTGTCTTACTAATATTGAGTTTATCCATAGTCCTGCCTGCTGTACAAACTTGGGATATGCACTGCATTGCCACAATTTGGACGTACTTGATTACTTGCACTGCAGATGTTTCAAAAAGTTTTAGTTATTCTGAGAGACTTATAAATAGAGACATCATTGTGCATTAGGCATACACCTACCTTTGCTCCAGTGGTAGGCCTGGATTTGCTTGTAATGTGTAGAAAGACGAAAATATGCTTGCTGAAAAGACTGTCAGGTACATTACTCATTATTTCAGTTTTAAGTTATTTTTTAGGTATTTGTGAAGAATGCAATGTCATTCTGCAGATGAGCATGCATGCCTTGCTCCTTCCTTTTATAGTTGTTCCAAAAAAGAATAACTTAAGTGTTGCCTTCTTATTTTGTGTTTTTAACTAGTGTCGTGGCTTAACCCAGCCGGCAACTAAATGCCAGGCAACCGCTCACTCACCCTCCCCAACCACTGGGGAAATGGGGAAGAGAATTGAAGGGGAAAAGGGAAGGAGACTTGCGGGTTGAGATAAGAACAATTTAATAATAATATAAAATTAGAAGTAATAATCATAAAATAGTACTAACATATGTGTCTGTTTATATATATACATACATAAAAAATGATAATATATACAAACAAGTGATGCACAGTGTAATTGCTTGGTGACAAATGCCTGTCCTGTCTTGGCAATTGATCCTGAAACAGGTAAGTCATAAGTTCCAACACCCCAATCTCAGATGAGTGAGAGGCCCGAAAAGAGAACAAGGGAGAGAGAGATAAGAACTTTAAGAGACCAAGAGTCCAAGAAAGCCCTCTGGAGAGAATTGCCCCAACTTCCCAGTCAACCCTCATCTATATACTGAGCGTGACATTGCATGATATGGGATATTCCATTGGCCAATTTAGTCCTCAATACTAAGTCTAAGTTCAAATCAATAAGGGGAGTTGTGGACCCTTTGTACTGGCCATGCTCCCCCTCAGCCTGTTGTGCTCCTGCACACTGGCAAGAACAAAGCAAGCTGAAAGGTCCTTGGTGTCTCAACACCAACTATAAACATCAGTGCGTGATCAATGTTCTTCTAATAACGAATCTCAGACTGATTCCAAAACACAGAGCTCTTCTAGCTGCTAAAAAGAAAAACCAACTCTGTCCCAGTAGAAACCGGGACGGCTAGTGAAAAGGAGTTTGCAAACTTCTGCTCAGCTCTTGATTTCTACAAGTACCTAATAAATTTTTTGCCTTTACAAACAAGGGCAGGATCTGGAGAGGAGAATTTCTCACTTCTTTTAAATGCATCCATGTTGCATGACCAGGCACTTATGTAAGTCCATATTTGGAATTGACTGGCTCCAGAAGGCTGACTCTTGGCATGGTGGCCCCTTTCCCTTTGCTTTTTTCTGAAGTTACTGAAGAGAAATGAAAACTTCTGTTCAGGCCTTCGCCCTGAAAATAAGCATCCTTTCTTTCCACCGAGTGAGACTGTGAAAAGTGAATTTTCTCTAAGTTCAAAACGTGCAGTTTCTGTATGCATATGGAGACTTTACTTCCAAACTACTTGAATCAGAGTAGTCTCTTCTCGTAGCTTCTCTGTTTTCTAGAAGTTGGTTGCCAGGACTTGCCCTACTGAAAGTTACATTAAACATTGAGCATCTTGTAGGGTTTGGTTGTTTGCAGGCTGCCTTAGTTTTAATATGAAAGATAAAAATGCAGTGGTGAAAATCTTCAAAATGTTGAGATCAAACACACAAACCAAAAAGCAAATTGCAGTTGAAAAGGGGAGAAAGCACAAAATCAAGTGTGTCAGCATTAGTCAAATTAGTGTTTAGTTATGACAAAAGTACTTTATAATGCTTGATCCCTATGCAAATTTATTTAAAACCTACAAACTTGTTCCAGAAGAGAGAGAGCTTTTTAAAAACTTGTATAGCACAAGGCATGTACTTAAGCAATATCAGATATGTAATTTTGCATTGATTTTTACCTGTTTCATCATGATGTATTCTTTTTAAAGTAAAGGCTAGGCAAGAAAGATTGTGATAATTTAACTATTCAGGGAAGTTGTAATGTGTCATCCAGTTCAGATAGAGCAGAAGTTGAGAATGTGCAATTATGACAAACTTATTATCGTTTGGAAAGCCACAGCAATATTTGAATTAACTACCGGAATGTCTTTGCTCACGGCACCAGTCCTGCAAATGTTTCAGAAGTAACTTTCTGCAGTATCAATTTGCCAATGTATCTCTTGTTTTATATACAAGGTGTATGTACACATACATTTATACATGCATAATATTTTTAGATGTGTATGTGTAAAGAAAGAGGAAATGCATGAGTTTGCAGGATGGAGTCATAAAAGCTAGCTGTAGTTCTATTTACTGCTGCCGTTTTCGTAGTGGTGGTGTCAGCAGCAAAGTAAGGTTTGATAATGCTATTGTGAAACAGAAGACCAATTCTGCCATCGCTGTTCACTTCCAATTGAAGAGTGGTCCTGTATAGTCACAAGAGAAAGAGTTGTTCTGTGAATAACTGTGCCAGAGATATTTTTGTTTGTTTTTTTTAAAGTAGGAAAACTTCATAGAGACTTAACCTAAATCAAACGTGTGAATGGTTGAGAAGCTCTTTTAGTTGTTCATATTTTTAATATGAATGTTTATTATGTTTAAATAAGCAAATGTATTGAAAACAGGTCAGTGAAGCTGGTAAGCAAGACTCTTAAGGCAAATTGACAGTTCATGCTTTTTCTTTTCTGAGATAATTTTTCTTTAAAGAAAAAAAAGCTTGTTGAAAGTTAATTATTTAAACTGATGATTGGACATAAACGTTGCTTCTTTCTAACGTTTGGAATAATACATCTCACATTTAAATTGCTGGAACAAGCTGCTAATTGACAACATCACTTTGTAGCCTTTCTTCAAACTAAAAAATAACAATCATTAGCTACCAGTCTAAGTTTTTTTTTTTTCCCCTTACATTTGCGAAAATACATCTAAGACTTTTTTTTCCTGTATGTGCTACATTATAGCTTGCCATGACTCATCCAAGCCATCACTTAAACTTTGGCATGAACCCGGATCATGCTAGAAATTCCCTATCCAACTGTGGGATTCGACAGCCAAAGTATGGAGATAGAAAAGTTCACCATATGCACATGAGAAAAAAAGGTATGCAGTTACACCACTACCACTTTTCTCTCACCTCACAGTTAATCAGTAAGAAAACTTTTTGTCCATTATTATTTCATTGGCCATTGTTCTTCTGAGAGATCCCTTTGGTGGAGGATTTCATTGGTTATACACAGACACCAGTGAGGTCTTTCTAAAAGACTGGATTTTGCAAATTATTCAACAAATAAAGAGCTGAGAAAAATCAAATATAATAAGTAGGAGAACGTATTGCCTTTGATTTTTGGCAAGTGTTTTCTTCTTGATTTGCTTCTCAACATGGTGAACAAAACAGAGGATATTTTGTAAAAATGTCCTATTAATGTGAAAATAAGTGGTCTGTCTGCTGCAGAATATTCCTTACCCATTAGAAGTATATTCTGCTATAGCGAAGTAAATTGTTCATTGTTTATGTAATGTTTAAAATGTCTTTTTCATGCAAAGGTGTTATTTTTATCTGGCTCTCTGAATGCAACAGTACAGTAGTATTGTAATGGGACTGTGGTCAGTTAGGCAGAGAGCATCTGTAAGGATCATACTTGCTGTAAGTAAGCCCTGTAAGTAACAGGATAATCTCGTGTACAACAATTACAAAGTAACATTTTGAGTAATTATTTTGTAAGCCTATTCAGACTGAATTAATGATTGTTTATTTAATAGTGCATTGTTTATCTTTCTAGGGATAAACACGCTGATAAATATTATGTCCCGTTTGGGACAGGATGATCCAGCTCCTTCCAGGTAATGAAAATAATTGTTTGGAAGTAGGGAAGCTGTTGTAGAGAGAGATGTTTGGTAGAAACAACCAACTTACTGCCAGCAATAGCTTTGGCAAATAGTTGAAATGAAGTAATTTTGAATTGACTTTTATATTATGAAGATGTGCTGAACCTCCATTAGCAGTGACATAGTAAATGTTTGGTCATGCCTGCAGAAAACTCCTAAGGAAGATTTTAACAGATAATTCTATCATTTTTGTTTACCCTTGAAATGAGGAGGACTAAAAGGCTACCTTTTTGCTTTCTGCAGACTGAAAAATAAGATTTGTTGGTTTTGTTATCATTCCTATAAATTGGATTCTCCCATCACATCTGCTCACAGTAGTATCTTCCTGGCATAGCACCTTGTTAACATGAGTGTGATACTGAATGTGGGCTTCATTGATTTACTGATCTAATTTAAGGGCATATGCAAAAACCATTAATGTTATAATGTAATAATCCTTAAATGACCAGTTAGAATTCTGTACAAATAAATCAGGCTTAAGATGTAGCCACAAGCACCATATTTAGCCAAAGTGAATAAACAAAGCTCGTAGAGCTTATGCAAGAAGCAGTTGCGTGTGAAATCTCCTAAGGGCATAAACTAGAGGGCAGAATGTATTTTAGTTCATTAGTGCTATAACTGGGCCTTTAAGAGTCGTCATTTTGGAGGAAGCTTGGGAATGGGAGAGGTTGAATTCTGAATAAATTATTGTTGCAGTGTTCCTCAAATGCTGTTTCAGCTACACCATGCCCTTTTCTTTGAGAGTCTGCCTCAAGCTTATTTCAGCTCTCTTAAGATAACACGAGATAAGGCTAAATTGCATTAATTCTCACAAAATAACACAAATATAAAATCCCGCTTCTGAGATCTGTATTTTCCGCTGTGTTGCTACACAGAGCAGTTGTAGTGTTGTTCACACTTTATTGTTTTACACAGCAGAGGTACTTGAATTCTTTCAGCCTGTAACAAAGGCCTGATATTTCAGAAATTAGACTAACTACATAATTGTTGGGGGACTGCAAATTACAATAAAAGCTGTCAAACACTTGAGAAGGATCTTCTGGTTTAAAGAAAAGAAAAAACAAAATCCAGTGCCAATGGCCCTGATTCTATTACAACCAAATGTGAATTCAGAATGGTGCTACGTATATGCTTTGATGTATAAAGCAGAAATTAGTATATATTCGAAGACAAACCCACATTCTTTTTCAGCTGCTGTGTTCTATTAGTCCTTTGCTGTATAAGCAGGCAGAGAGTTTCAAGGAAACTCTCTGCTATATGCAAGACAAAGGAAAATCAGGAGCTGTGATAGAAGAAAAGGAAAACACAGGAAATACAAGATTCTACTAGCTTAATGGCATCTTTGAATGCATCTTCTTGTACCACCATTTTTTTTTCTGAGTGCAAAGGACGTTAAAGAAAACAGGGCATTTTAAGGTGCTATGAAAAATATGTAGCTTGCAGAGTCATCACACCCTGCAGGTGTTGATGTTAATTATGTACACTTCCCTAGTTACATACACAAGACTGAAGACAGGCTGTTTGTTTCAATCACCTGATGCCCTCTGATGGACAAGGAAACCCAGCCTCAGTGCCACTCAACAGTACTGTTCCCTTTCTCCGTTTGTTATGCTCTGACAATAGCTCAGAATGGAACATAAGAATATTTCAAAGGTGGTAGTGTCAGTCCTGAGTTTCAAAATTCATGTAGTTGTTATTCCATTTTGGAAAGGATTGTAACCCAGAGGCTGGGAGAGGCTGCAAGAATGTCTATCGTGGCTGATTAGCAATCAACTCTGATTTGTTCTATTTTAATTGTATTGTGTAAATAACCAGCATATGTTACTTAGCTGATAGTAAACCTTAAAATGCCTTTTTCAGGATTAACCACAACGAGCGTTTAGAATTTCTGGGAGATGCTGTGGTGGAGTTCTTAACAAGGTAAATGTGGAATTCTTCAACAGTCCTCACATCATAGAATCATAGAATCATAGAATGGTTAGGGCTGGAAGGGACCTTCAAAGGTCATCTAGTCCAACCCCCCTGCAACAAACAGGGATATCTTCAACTAGATCAGGTTGCTCAGGGCCTCGTCCAATGTTGTCGTCATACTGTTGGGTTTATTAAACTTTGCAGTGTCTACTTTATGACCATGTACGTTTGCAGTCCTGCCTGATATTTAGAACTGCACATCTGCATGCAGCTGTCTTGAAAATTCCTTCAGTACTGATGATACAACAAAGATGATTACAAAATGAAAAGCTAGAGTTTCTGTTTCACGGAGTGCAATTTTTAAATTGATTGGGATTAGAGATTATTCAGCTACGGACAAGTTGAACTTTGTACCCTTTTTTCAAAGGAAAGATATTTTTCTTAGCATGCCATTTTGTTTCCATGGATTCTTTTTCCCTACTTGCAAGTGAAAAGCATTTATTGGCAATACTGAATGTGTTGCAGTTCTTATATTTCCATTTACTAGGGCTGTAGCTTCCATCATGTCTGTATGTAAAAAAAATAGCTGAGCACAAATGTAATTTATTTAGAAGTAATAACAAAAAAACATGGTTCCTCAAAAATTGCTCCAGTTTTTGTCTGAGTATTCTGAAATCAGTGAACGATACTCGTACTTGAGTACTAGAGGCAGGCAGTTTGCACAAATTAAAGATAATCCATTTTCAACTGCTTTGTTCTACTGTTTTTAATAGAGGAGGAGTCTTGTTTACTGTAAAGCTTCTCTTTAAGCAAGTTTGTTTTATGAATAACAAAACTGCCCTTATCTCCATTCTCTACTAGCTTCTACTAGGCCAATACTCAAGATTAAAAGCTATTAGTCTATAAAGGTCTCCACTGCCCTTAAAACCCATGGCCTTTTCTCTCATACCACAGTACAGGCTGATAAGATGGAAGAACTGCTGATTAAAATGTCTTGCATTTTTCATTGTCATTGTTCATCAACCATTAGTTGACTTTATGAGCTAACTTTTATCTCAATTCAGAAAAAATGTGAGCTACATTTCTGTTCAATAGAGCATGCAAGCACCTATTTAAGTCTGATTTTTTTTTTTTCTAACTCTCTTGACTTCAGGTCTCTGCTTTTGTGAATTATGATACTTGATTAGATTGACTCCACGTTTTGTAGCAATTTTTACCTGTAAATAATCTTGCATCTGTCTGCACTTTTCTCCCTGTATACTGAGTTAATAAAATATTTTAATAATTAATGACATCCACAGCCTTATTTGGGGAATGTTGAAAACCCTCTCTGTATTAACTTCTTTCTGACATGGATTAGATAGTCATGTATGAAGATACTCAGAATCATTTATCCTTTACTCAGATCTTGGTTGGATCACTGAGTTACTTTTTTTGTTGTTTCTGTTTTATGAAGTATCTTACTTGCATGATGACAAATATTAAAGACAGTTGAAAGCCTGTGGTTTTTACTCATTTTTTTTCTGTAGTATTAATGACTTTGCACATTTGATACATAGAGACTGTTGAGTTCTGTTCTTTGTTTTGGTTAGCATCTGTTAAAGTACTCTAAGAAACTTGCAAAACAAATATCCTGAGTGGTGATCCAGCCTGAATCAGTAGTGTCATCTTAAAGCGCTTTGTACCTGCGGTACCTTACTTTCTTAAGGCTGACGGTTCCCTTGAGCTTTGTTCCTCAGCATCCTCGATGTGTCAACCTTGCTGAATCCCCTGCTGCTGAGATGGAAACCTTCAGATGAGGGAACTGCATATCATTGCAGGGATTTAGAAATGTGTGTGCTGCCCAGTAGAGAAGCAGCACTCTTCCTCCCCTGCTGCCAGTGCTATCCAGTCAAATGTTGAGCGTTGTTTTAGTGGGTTTTTCTTTACTTCAACCCAAGTTGCCACCTTGGGAACGGCCCTGTGTTACCAACTAGGATCTGAGGGAAAGGCATGGTTCTCTAGAGCACACATGGTTCATCTTTAACCAAATGCTGACAGGGTCTGATTTGATTTTTGTTTTGCCAGTGTCCACTTGTACTACCTGTTTCCCACTCTGGAGGAAGGAGGATTAGCTACCTACCGCACAGCCATCGTACAGAACCAACACCTGGCCATGTTGGCTAAGGTACAGTTTTATACATCTTTGTATTTGACACCCAGAGGTAGGATTCTATTAATGCATGGATTGCTTCCAAGGGATCTGTCTGCCTTGAAAATCTGAGTTTTTACCATCAACATTTGGGAACAGGAACTCTTTTCAGTTTGAAAGTAGTTTTTAAAGATGAAGTATGACTTTGTGTTTTCTCCAAAGCATGTTTTCAGGAGGAGTAATTCTAGCAGGCAGAAGGGTAAGTTTTTAGGATGCTTATGTTGAACGTGTGTCTATATCTACCTTTAAATTGCACAGGTAATGAAGCTGATAGTAGAAATTTAGTGAAGAAAAAGAAGCAAACTAGTTGTTTATAAAGGGACTTCCTGATAGAATGTGTAGGGAGAACATGGCAGCAAGTGGTAGAGAAAGTGGTGAAAAAATCATTTAATCTGCTCCCTAACCTACGCAGTCATTTTCAGATTTGCTGTGAACTGTGGAAGAGAAATATGTTAGAAAGGCTTTTGAAGAAAAGTTGTATTACCTCATGGGAAGAATTGAGATGGCTCTGAATTTTATTTCCTTCAATTCTGTGAATGACAGAGCTTTTTACATTTCTACATGATACTAGAGGGTGGGAATATGATATAGAAAGTTGATTAAGTCTCTGTTTGTAGGTGATTTGGTATTCCCTTATTCATGTTTGATTTTACTAGCATGTTTTTTAAAAATTAGTCTGAGACTTGCTGATGTAATTTATTAAGCTATGCATGCACACATGCCTGCACACATGTCCACTGTATATTGCTGATAGTTTTCAAGTGCTTCTTCTCTATTCATATTTACACAGTAATTTAAACAAGCATATCCAATCTTGAGATTTTGTCAAAAAGGCATGATTTCTAACATGTCATGTTTTCACTCACAATCATCTTCCTCCAAAGCTTTATTTAATGATTTAGATAAGCATGAATTGATTGAAACGTTTCAAATCAGGGTTTTGTTGACAAATGTGGTGTTGAACTGCCTGACATTTGAAGTCATGGTACTATATGAGCTTTTCTGACGTAGGTTTTAAAATATTCTTAAAGCTCTGTTGACAGCCTTTATCGTTGTATGTGGACAACTTTTGAAATATTAGAAATCTATACATTCCTGATTTCCCAACTTACCCTTTTTTTCCTCTCATTTATCCTATATGATCTTCCTGATTTCATTCCCTTTAATTGTGCCTCACAGTGTCATGTTGCATTCAGTTTAATTTCTCAATATAATTCTCAGCTCCTCAACTTGTGCACGTGGAATGCTGTTTTAATTGAAAATCAAGTGATAAATTTCTGTAGTTTCTACGGGACATTATAGCAGGAATTTTAAAAATAATCTGAAACATGTTGTTATCAAAGTTGAGTAGCCAAACACATACATGCAAAATATGCTGAATGCAAGCTCTGAAAATGGAGGTAAGCCGTTGGAGGGAGGGGATGCACACCAACACCCAAACAACACCAGTTCACATGAACAAATGACAATAATCTGTAAGAAGTTTAAATTTTATAGAAAACAATTAATGTTCCACTTTTATGTTGACTTGAACGAGTGCTCCCTGCATTTTATAAAGTGTGATGGATCATCGTAAGTGGTAATTCTCTGGGTTCTGGAGCAGTGAATAGGCTCTCATTCACTGAAAATGGAAGACTCTCTTTTCCAATTGAAATATGTCTAAATGACGCCCCTCAAGCAACTTATTTTCCACTTTTTCATCTTAAGTATACTCTAAGAGGATGAAGTTGAAAGTTAATGAGAAATTAATTGGTAGAAACTTACACCCAGTTGGGAAAAACCTGTTCTCATACAGACTTTGCAAGATGCACAAATCAAATCTATTTAAAAATCTCAGTAGTAGTTTTATGTCAAAAAGATGAATATGTAAAGAGAACCTAGTAGTTCTTGCCTGCATTTCTGTAGCAGGATTATCATATATTATTTAAGATATCTGACTCACTACCTGAGATTCTGCCTGGCAAGCAGAACTATGGTTTAGGCAACAGATGTACGTGAATGATGCACGATTGAAAGGAAGAAGAAAGCTAGGTGGCACTGTGGATTAAAATATCAGTCTTCTGCTTGCAGTGCCCAGAGGTTTTTGTTACTGCCACCTGTTGACCCTCTTAAAGGAAAAAGCCAGATGTTCACTGGATTGTGTCTCCCAGAGTTCCTGTTCCTCACTGTTGTACATTATCTTCTTCTTGTAGGCAAAATCTTTTTCCTCGATGTTAACTCCTCAACCTTTGAATGTCCCTTTGGCATTTCTGAAGGCAAATCACTTGAGGGCAAACTATCAGCAACAAACACGGCACACTGCACTATGCAGCCACTATCAGGCTGTTTTTCTGTCACGCTCTCAGCCCTCCTTTTGAACTCATTGCTAAATCTCGCTAGTAACATGTTTTAATCTGGCTTCCCTTGACAATTTGGTTTGATAATTCCTAGCTTTCCCACACTATCACACTCTAGTTGCTTGCTTCTGATAAACAAATAGGAAGATTTCTAATTTTAGCCTATATCGGAACTGAAACTATGGAGCTTTAAAGTTCCCTCAAATTCAGTTGTCACATAATAATAGTGTAATTGAACTTTAGTGACTAGAACTAGTACTCTTGTACATCTAAGCTATGTTTTTTTTAACTCTTTCCACATATTCTGCAGAAGCTGGAGCTAGATCGATTTATGCTTTATGCTCATGGTCCAGACCTTTGCAGGGAATCGGATCTCCGCCACGCCATGGCCAACTGTTTTGAAGCCCTAATAGGTAAAGCATGTGCATCATGTGTGCAGACAATTATGTTTTAATATGTTTACATGCAATGTTGACTATGATGGAGGAGACACGGGTCTGTGTTGAGTAGTGCTAGTAAGGGATAGGCGATAGTATAGTTTCTTAAGTCTTCTTCGTCTCTTCCCATCTCCCGCACATATGCCACTTGTATAACATGATAAGTGTGCAGTATTACAATGAATATCTCATCTTCTGTATCCTGCCTCCCACGCACTGAAGATGCACCCATTTCACGCCATTGTGGTGCAGCACTTCTGTCCGTCACTGCGGAACTCCACCTCTCGTGCCACCATGGACTGCCACCTGCAGTCATCTGAGCAGAGTAGTTTGGTCATCATGGCCTGACAGGAAAAGTGGTCTTTGCGTTTTCATTACAAATGAAAAGCATGGCAATATACCGTGGCTGATGTAATGAAGCTACCAAAGCCCTCTAGCTGAGGACAAAGGGAAGTTGTGTCAGATTAGCTGTTGCGTACTAACATGCTGATCAGTGACTGACTGCACTCGTTGATAAATTTATGTTGGAGAAGAAGTTTGGACTGCCTAACCACAGTTACCAAATAAGCAAACAGTAAGGTGAGTATCTGAACCGTTATATCCTCACAAGATCTATTTTAAATATTTTAAAACTTTACTTGTCTGAATACACAAAGTAAGCTAAGTTTCACTGATGTGTCTTCATATTCATCTAAATGTACTGTGCATGATATTAGCTATGGAAATGATTTAGCCCTGATGCAGGTCTTTACATACTACACAAGCTCCTAAAGCATTTTGTCCAGCTTTGAAAAATAGATCATAGTTGGCTTAGATGTCAACAATTCTGTGAGCTCTGCCTTGGGCCAAATTGCATTTCATTTTATCGAGAAACGCAATTCGTCTGTTTAATTTTATTTTGCTTTCCATGAGTGCTTTGATCTTTAATTTAAAAATCAAAAAACAAACAGAAAAGGAACACTAGATATGTATCTGTGACTTTGTTCATATACTTAAGCTTGTCTAGGATGTAATGATGATTTGGCAAGCATTGAGATTTGCTAAGAGAGCTGACTTGCTGTTTAACCTCCAATACAAAGTTGTTCACAAAGTTAATTGAGCAATAAGATTTTGTCAGGGCCATAGCTAAAATCTGGGAGCTTGTTAAGGGACTATAAAAATATATTTGGGGTCTGGAGCGCCTACTTGAGAACCTTTGTAAAACTCTGGTGCTTCTTCCCTGTACTGAAAATAAAAAACAAAGTATAAGCAGGCTGTCTAGGACCTGTTTGAAATTCTGTGCTCTCTTAATATGCCTCCGGCAAGATAGTCTTACAAACCCCCAAACTGTTCTCCAAAGAGTCCAGAGAAAGTAGTTGACCTAGTGAGGAATTGAAAGAAGAGGGGAAAGATAGAGCAAGGCAAACCATGTTCTCCCTGTATGTGGGAACATCGAATCCCTTTCTCTGTGTTCTTCATGCTGCCGTATATTCCCTTTGCTTTTATACAGATGTGCTTACAAGAACTAGTTTGAGGTTTTCAGAAGGCCTCGTGGAAGGACTATCAAAGGACAAAACGTTGATACTGAATTTATAAAGTACCTGAGCAGATACACACTGTATATGGTACACACAAAAAATATAATATGCTAGCACAGGTTTTGCAGAGCTTGTTACTAAGGGGCATGTGGAGGGCTAATGAGGGCTGTATATGCAGCATAAAAAAGAAAATAATAAAAAACTCCACCATGATCTCCAGAAATTGAGTGATGTAGAGGTGCAGTTTCCAGTTCAGACAATGTATTGTTGTGCAACTGGGGAGACATTTTGGTTTGGAATAGTCCTGACACATTATTTATATGCAGAATGTAATGTGGTTGAAAGTACAGAATAAATGAGAATTATTTGCTAGCTATTGAAAAGTATCTCATGGCTTTCACTATCTATGTATATGATATAGTTAGCTGGTTACCAGAAACTACTTCTAGAAAATAGATTGCTTCTAGCCTAATTTGTTTAAACTTTACTCTTTGGATATATCATTTTCTATCATTGTTTTAACTATTTCAGGTTGTTTTGTGCATTTTATGACCATTGATTTATGTTGGTGTTTATCATGCTTTAAATTTCTCAAAAAATTTAGTATTACTACAGTAAAGCATGCTTTTAAAAACAATGTATTGGAGAGGAAGAAGGCAGAGACCTTTGACTTTTCTGTGCTTGGTAATTTTCTAAGTACTTATGCATTATTGACCTTTGATGTATTGATCCCCTCATGCAGGAGCTGTTTATCTAGAGGGGAGCCTAGAAGAAGCAAAACAATTATTTGGACGTTTACTCTTCAATGATAAGGTATTTATGTATTTATATGATTTGATTTCCATTTTAAAAATAACTGAAGACATCCTTTCTTGTCCATTGTTTTACTTGTTCCTGGAAGCTGGATGTAGCATAGTGTGTTCAGGACAGCAAACTGCACTGTTTCAGGCGAAAAAATTACAGTGTTTTCTTGGGTGTGCTGTTTGTTGACTGGCTTAGGGAAGGGTGGGCGATGTGGGAAACCTGCAGACTTCCATTCGAAGTGCTGCTCTAACAACAGAGATGAGTACTGTGGAGCCAGGCAGCATGCTTTGGGGAAGTGATGCACATGTACAGTGACTACTCAGGAGAGCAGACTTTGGCCTCTGCAGGGATCTCCTCGCTAGAGTACAATGGGATGAAGCCCTGAAGGGAAGAGGGGCACAAGAAAGCTGGTTAATATTCAAGGATCACCTCCTCCAAGCTCAGGAGCGGTGCATCCCAACAAAGAGAAAGCCTGGTAGGAACACCAGGAGGCCTGCATGGATGAACAAGGAGCTACTGGACCAACTCGGGCACCAAAAGAAGGCCTATATAGGGTGGAAGCAAGGACAGGTAGCCTGGGAAGAATACAGAGCGATTGTCTGAACAACCAGAGATCAGGTTAGGAAAGCCAAAGCCCTGATAGAGTTAAATCTGGCCAGGGACATCAAGGGCAACAAGAAAAACTCCTATAGATATAGGAGTCCCCAACACAAGAAGGACATGGAGCTGCTGGAGCTGGTCCAGAGGAGGGCCACAAAGATGATCCAAAGGCTGGAGCACCTCTGCTATGAAGACAGGTTGAGAGAGTTGGGGCTGTTCAGCCTGGAGAAGAGAGGCTCTGGGGTGATCTTATAGCAGCTTTCCAGTATTTAAAGGGGGCCTACAGGAAAGCTGGAGAGGGACTTTTAGAAGGGTGTGTAGTGATAGGACAAGGGGCAATGGCTTTAAACTGAAAGAGGGGAGATTTAGATTAGATATAAGGAAGAAATTTTTCACTCAGAGGGTGGTGAGACACTGGAACAGGTTGCCCAGAGAAGTTGTAGATGCCCCATCCCTGGAAGTGTTCAAGGCCAGGTTGGATGAGGCTTTAGGCAACCTGGTGTAGTGGAGGGTGTCCCTGCCCATGGCAGGGGGGTTGGAACTAGATGATCTTTGAGGTCCCTTCCAACTCTAACCATTCTATGATTCTGTGACTATTCCTGTCTCATCAGTTAAATTCTCCCACCTCTAACAGTTTTAAACAAATCTTTGGAAAAAATACAGGGGATTTCATCCAACATTTACCTAATTGCATAATTAAAGTCTAATCCATTCTTGCATACTGTATCTTAGATCACTGTTAATTGGAATTTATCCCATATAATGTCTAAGGAAAGTAGCCAGTACGTACTGCTGGGACAATACATGTGGCAGTAGTGAGGGGATGAATTGTACAGTATTTGCCTTCTTGAAAGTCTCTGAGCCTGTGAAATGACAAAGCTTATTAGAAATAAAATTATTTTGAAGCCTCTCGTAACTCAGTGTTTATTTGCTTCTCAGCGCCTGTAGTGAAGGAAGCCTGTATGAAATAGAAGAAAATAAGTGTTTTCTCTTTTTTAGTCCTTGCCTTTGGTGAAGTCAAACTTGCTACTGAGGAGTACTTGCAAATAAAGTTAGTCCTGAGGCTTAAACAAATCTTTTTTCTTCCTTTAACCACTTTTGTTTGGTTCAAGAATTTTTCCACCTCTTTGAGACAAGCTAGTTGGGAGAACTACAGGCAGTTTGAACAGCAAATACACGATTTTAAAAATTAATTTGCTAGCACTATTGAATTTGCAATAAGCAGAGTCAGCATCTGAAATAGTTCAGTATTTCAAGTAATGACATTTTATTTAGTACTGTGGAATTTGTTAAATGACTCCCTTGAGCATTAAAGGCATTTCTCAATGTTTGCAGGACCTGCGGGATGTATGGCTTAATTATCCACTACACCCACTCCAAGTAAGTGTATCCCTTTCTGTAATAAATTTCATAGCTCCACTTTATTTTCAGAGATGCTTTTCGTAGGTTTCCGTTGTAGTGACATCTCAAAACGATGCTATAATGTAGCCAAAGGAGTGTATATATTTGCCTTTGTGTTTGGTTTTGGGTTGTTTTTTTAATGAATAATGAGTCTCTGCCTCTCTGATGGTTAGTCATTCACCTTTCCATGGCTCATGTTTGATACATAACTGTGTGCTTATATGATAAATCTAGAGAGAAGTAACATTTTGGTGCCTTCTTGTTCATCTTCTTGAAGTTGGAGGAAAAAGGGTACATAAACAATCTATGTACATATTTTGTTAACCTGAAATTAAGACTTAATAGTAGGAAGGTGCATTAGTTGAATGGCTCATACGAACATCTGAGAGGTTTCTTTTGTCCAACCAAATGTCTGATATTTTGTGCAGTCACTTTGACTCCTTTGAAATTTTTTATGAGCATGCCCTTCCAGCAGAAGGTCACTTTGAGACCTTCGTCTGAAATGTCTCATGTATTTGTACAGATTTTGCAATGGGTACACAGACAAAAATCTTCAGCAACAAATCAGTGCACATGAAGCATTTTTTCAACGAACTTTCTATGAATGTAAATAGGAGAGAGTCTTAATGGGAAGATAAACTTTTGACGTTCAGCACCAGCTACCCTGCATGGTGGCACAAACTCCCAAGAAAATTCTTCTTACTCTGGATTTTTTTCTTTTCTCTTACTTTGTTTTATTTTAACTTTTTTTTCTCTGCTTTCACAAAGAAGGCTTGGATTCTTCTTAGAGATTAGAGTCAGTCAGTATATGCAACCTATTTCTTGCTGTTACCTTAACTTATGTGATGAAAATTTGTTTTCTTCTATGTCCCAGAAGCCATCCTAGCTCTCTGCTTGCCAGCAGGGGAAACACAGGCTGCTCACATTGGCCTTTGGGCATAGCTAGCTTGAAAAATGGCATTTTAAAAATTATTAGAAGTCGTCGTAACAATATGGCAAATGAGATGCCAATTAAAGAAAAAAAAATATCTGGGTAAGATACACAGAACTGAAGGCCTGAAACCCTGTTATTTGCCAGTAGTCAAGTCAGTAGAAATAGTGATGAAAAGAATAATTAGTGGTCACCTGGATAAAAAAATCTCTTTAGAAAGAATCAACATGTAAAGACAATTCCTGCCTCACAAATGAACAGATTTTAGAGGAGACTAAAAAGCATATGATGATGTAGATGATACTGTCTGCTGGATTTAAGAGGCTGTTCGAAAGGCAGTCACAAAAAGCTTTCTAAAATGTGTTTTTAAAAAAAAAAGGAAAAAAGCAATCCCAGTGAATACTGTCGCTCCTTACACGATTTAAAGGAATAGCTGAAACATAAGAAATGTTTCAGAGACGTCCCTGCCCATGACAGGGAGGTTGGATTAGATGATCTCTAAGGTCCTTCCAGCCTATGCCATTCTATGAAATGGAGAACAGGAGTGAATGACCACATCTTATAAGGGATGGAGATCACTGGCAGATTTCCCTAGGGATCTTTGCTGAAGTACAGGCTGTTCGCATCCACAGCTTAGGGAAGAGGATGAGCAGTCAGGTGGCAGTTTGTTGACAATACCAAATTATTCAGGGTAGCTGGGACAACAGCAGGCTGAAGAATTGCAGTCTGATTGTGAGAATGCAAAAGTGACTAAATATGGGGTAAAAAAGCAGATTAAATTCTGTGTAGGTAAATATAAAGGACTGTGAATGAGGAAGCAAAAAGCAGTCTCAGCTCCACATGCAACTGAACTCCAGACTGACCATTATCACTCAAGCGTGGGATTTTCGTGCCAGGATAAGTAGTTCTATGAAAATGTCAGCTGAAAGCTTAGTAGTGTTTAAGGGAAAAGACAAACGTAATCAATTAATAGAAAAGGGACAGGCAACAAACCAAAATTAATGCCACTTTAAAAAACTGTGGCTGTTCTTACTTTTCCTTTAGGCACGTTCATCTGGATGATTCCTCCTCTAAGGTATTGTTATGCAAGATAGCTGCCCAGAGTGGCTGGAGGAAAGCTTAAGCCATTTCCCAACTCCAGAAAGCTGTTTAACAGTGTCACCACATCAAGGACATCAGCCATAAAACTGATAAGAAAAGATACTGAACCAAAGTGATAATTTTAATTTTCTTGTATTATTGTGCCCTTTTGAATTTCGTATACTAAGTATTTATTCTTGATTTTTTTTTATACTGAAGGAAAGTGGGAGAAATAGATTTGGATTTTCTCATCTTGACATGCTGTCAGGTTGTCAGCCCTATTCTAATAATTTTTGAATCTGTTGCTCAGTGGCAAACAATGTGATAATATTAGAAAACTCAGATGCATACAATTGTACATGTTTTGTTAAAATAAGTAGCCCATGTTATCCACATGTAGAGGCAAGACGTATAAGCGATGTGTTATAAATGCCTCAACTGTTAAAGGAGCATACATCAAAGCTCACATCATCTTTGAGTGGTAATTATCTAAGATAAAAAGCTAGAGGAGACTGGGTTTTCTCAGTTCAGCTGTCCACAGAACAACTTGTTCACTGTATTCTTTGCCCTTGATTTACAGAAGGCTTGCTTTTCTCTGAAAAGTTCTGAAACAGTGTCAGTTTGTCATTATTTGCGCTTCATTTTATTTACAGCTACAAGAGTCCAATACTGACAGGCAACTCATTGAAACCTCTCCAGTTCTTCAAAAGCTTACAGAGTTTGAGGAGGCAATTGGAGTCATCTTTACTCATGTTCGGCTTCTAGCACGTGCGTTCACTCTGAGAACAGTAGGCTTTAACCATCTGACTCTGTGAGTATACGGCAAGAATCCTCATGCAGCTCTCTTGGTCCTTCTGTTAGTATCCCGGATTGCTCTATTTATAAACCAACTGTAGATATTATATCTGTTTTCCACAAGATAACAGAGCAGCTATGTTCACAAGCCTGCCTGGCTCAGTGTCCTGTCTCTGACTCTAGTCAGTAGTGAATACCTTGGGAAAGACTACAGAAGATGTTAGAGAGCCATCCCGGTGTTTCTTCTGAGCTCCCTGCATCATTGATATTGGCACATCACACTTGAGACAATAGCAATACATAGTTGGAGGTACATTTGGGCAGAGGAAAGAAGTAAAATCATGCTCTTTGGTCCAAGTGCAGCCCTTGTGCTCTATGGCGTGTAGAGCTTCCAGGCCCCATTTTAAAGCAAACAGTAGAGCCATACCAGTGGTTACTCAGTCCAGGATCTTACATATTGTTTAAACCGCGATGCTTAATTTCGTGTGAATAGACAGACCTTTTTCTCTGTTGAAGTCGTCACATTCATTAGTTCACTTTCTTGTAAAAAGTTGCTGGTAGAGAGACCGTATCCCATTACAAATGATGTCTACTGCTCTTCTCCTTTGTTTAGTCCCAGATCTGCCATCTAATAGTTGTGTTTATATGTAGCTATGCTGATTTGCTTTCTCCTTGAAAGTTGGTGTTACAACAGTAATGAACTGTGTTTTCATCTCTCCTGGTTAACACTGGAAAATTGTCTTAAATGCGTTTGGAAATGAGCAAGGCTCACTTTCAGATCACTCTTTATTTTAATTTGTATGTGAATGCTGGGGGTTTTTTTCCTCCCTGAGTGCTTATTGATTTTGCTGCATTGATGTCTCATTTTTCAGAGGCCACAACCAGAGGATGGAATTCCTGGGTGACTCCATAATGCAGTTGGTAGCCACAGAGTATTTATTCATACATTTCCCCGATCATCATGAAGGGCACTTAACGGTGAGACTGCCATCAATCATGCTGTCTGGGAGAACAAGAGTGGGATGGAGACTGAAATTATGGGAGCAGCTAGTGAATTATTCTGGATTTGATTAATAAAAGAAGCCTCAGCAACCACTGCTCTTAATAAGGCTTTGTTAATTTTAAGTCATGAGCACTGCAATGAATAGGAAATAATGATTTATGAGCCCAGTGCAATAATTTTTGTTCTGTCTGTGAAATGGATCAGTAATTTTAAGAATGTCAGTGATGAAATTGGGAGATAAGACTAGTTCTTGTTTAAAGATGAGTGTCTTAAACCATTTATTTAAATAGACACATTACGTGACTTCTTTTATTTGTGACTTCTAGACTGTTGAACCTGGAACCAGGCGGGATTATGTTTCCTGATAAGTTTTTACAATCTATTTTAGTCTAGTTTTTCTGCTGTTACAATCTGGAGCTCCTGTGGTAGCTTTTGAATTTAATTTTACTATTGTTATAGTCATCTGTTGTTGATTATTGTAGCCTTTCAGCGACTCTTATCTGGGCTCTGAGCAACCCAGTTTGGGGATCTTTCAACAATTTCCAGTACTTTAAACATAGAGTGGTAGTATATGTAGTTTTTTTTTTCTGATTGATTCATTTAGAACTGCAGCTAGACAGCTGTGGCTTTATTTGTATGGAAGAAATTTTCTTAAGCTTATTAAATTTTTCTTAGTTTTCAAGTCTTGACAAGTTTTGACTAGAATAAAAAAGTCGAGTCTTCTAGTTAAAATTGAGAAGGAGTGCTGTAGGTTTCTACTCGGAGTGATTTTCTCAAATCAATAAAGGGATGGCAATGTCTCTAGCAGGCAATGTGTTTTCAAGAATATGCTTTTTGGGTCTTTAGGGCTAAAGCTGTTCTCAAGAAAAAGAGTACATGCTCTGACATGTAAAGAGTACATGCTCTGACATATAAATATATGGAAAAGTAGGCAATGCCTAGAACAAAATTTCAATTCTGGGGACACACATTCAGTGGAAAAGAAGATTGTCTTAGAATGTTTTTAAATTTGAGGGCAAGTGAAATGAGACTTGTGAGACAGGAGGCCGATTATGTGGGATCTGAAGGGAAACAGCAAACACTGAGCTCTTTCTCCTGTAATCTGGGAACATACTTCTAATCAAAGAGATAGCAGAACATCAGCTGAATGGTGTTGGTAGTATTGAGGACAATTTTTGTCAAGGATGAGAAGATTCCAGTTGACTGGCAATGCAGTGGCTTCCCAGTGTGTAGTGATTGCTTGGGGAGAGATGTCTGTAAATTAACTATACTTAAGAAAAAGAAAGGAGAATGTAGTCTTGTCTACATGTTTTGAGATAGCCAAGTGATCTGCCAAAAAAGAGGATGAAATTTTATTGGCCGTAGGAAGACAGAACTTCTCCAGTACTGACTTATGCTATGGTCATGGGTAGTAGTGTGCTGTGTGAAGACGAAAGAATAAACAAAAATTTGTAATTACAGTTAAGCTCCAGTTAAGCATCTGTCACGTGTTACAGCATCTGTGATGATGCAGGCTGTGTGTTGCCAGAGTGAAGACTAGCACTTAAAAAGTTACTGGGAAGGCACAGGTACTGTGTCTTCCCTGTATGATTAAGGGGAATTGAGTTTCTTGCTAGATCACATTTGTAGATTCTAATGCAAATTCTAATGCAGAGCAAGCTGATAACCACAGTGCTGGAAGGACAACTGTATCTTTTTCACCATCTCTAATTCACTATGTAGTGTATATGTTGCTCTTTGGTTTATGATGCTACTAATCATGATTACAGGTCCCATCAAAATAAAAGCAAGCATAGCAAAAGAGATCCTTCTTCTCTTCTTACAAGAAGCAGGTTTTTGTCACATGATACTGCAATTCTGTCTCATAGGTTTCATATCATACCTAGGATTTTGTTGAAGAAAGTATTGTTTATTTATCTTAAGGACATAAAAGGGAAGAATTCTGGAAAGGAACAAGTAGAAGATGAGTTTAAGCAGTGGTTAGTAGGCAGGTAATAATCCTATCTATGGTGTGCCTAGTTTATGGTGATCAAGTTGTGAGTATCTCTTCATACGTCATTGCCAAGCAAATTATGAACATACTGTTCTTTATTTATCTGTTGTCAGATAAGAAGTATCAAGTGCAGCAAATAAATCTTGATTTTTCATAAGCTCAGTTGACATGCTGGAGCCAGGTAGCATATAACTTGGATCTAATAAGCTGAGTAAATGTGATACAAAAGATCAAAAAATATAAAAAATAGAAAAAAAATATAGAAATTATAGAAAAAAATGTATATGCAGCTTCTCAACTCTAGATTACATGTAAACAGTGGAAAAGAGACATTCTTTCCCTCTCACCCTCATCTCCTATAATATCCTTTGCTTCTTAAATTAATGCTGTTTTGTTGAAAGCAATAAAGGAAACAAGCAGGGGAGAAAGCTCACTTTAACCAGGGGCTCAGAAAATTGTATGGAACCCTAAAATTCCTGAATAGTCCTTTAAGCTGTATGAGATTGTATCTTTGGCAGAGCTCTATGTTTATTTAAGCAATTTGCCTAGAGCGACAGTTAAGCCTTTCAGAGACCTCTGCTGGAGAAGCAGGCATCCTGGACATTGCCATACGTTGAAAATGTTAGAGCCACGTCTTTGCCAGGGATGCATTGGCTCAGCTATACCACCTTCAGTACAGCAAAGAGTATGTACAGACTGTCCAGCTATGCATGTTCTTCTCTGGCCAAATGAAGGAAGCAGGTTCCTCCTCTGGTTGTTCCGAAACACTGGTGTGTCTTGCTTTAATGTGCATTTGTTTTAATTACTGCCTATTTATTTCTTATTTGGTGGGCACTGGGGACTGCTCTATAGACTCTAGAATACCTTATGTTTATACTTCATGTGGAAAAATGCATATAACTGTGTATTACTTAAACTAGAAAAATGCAGATTAGCTGAAAAGGTACAGAACTGTAGAAGAGATGGTATATTGATTGCAAAGGAGCTCACAAAGAAGCATTTTAAATGCAAGGCGTATCTGCAGAAGTAATGTGTCTATAGAATAAATACAATCTGGTGAGAAAAATTGAAACAGGAAAAATTAGCAATAAGAAAGAATGAGTGTGTGTTTATGTAAATGATTTGAGCTGTGCTGAAACAAAATGTTGATAAACTGAGAAGTGAGAGGCTGCAAGGATAAAATTAAGGTTTTTTTCCACAGCTTTCTCTACCTTTTATAGTTTGATATTTCTAGTGGTTACAGTTGAGTGGAACATCTTTCTATTGCAGCTATTGAGGAGTTCTTTGGTGAACAACAGGACACAGGCCAAGGTGGCAGAAGAGCTGGGTATGCAAGAATTTGCCATCACTAATGACAAGACAAAAAGACCTGTAGCTCTTCGAACTAAGACTTTAGCTGATCTCTTGGAATGTGAGTTGATTTTCTTATAACAGCTTAGTACTTGTACAACTTCTTTTTCCTCGGGGCTTGTTTAAGAAAGCCATTAGAAATCCCCCAAATTACTATTAAAAATGTATGTTCAGGTTTTCACATGAATTATGCTTATACCTCTGAAAGCCAAATTTTCAAACACTAGGCTACATTTTTGAAGTCTGTATGAAAGCATGAAGGAGGTGTAATTGCAGATACAAAGTTGTAGGCTTAGAAATTGAGGGATTGTGATGACCAGGTCTGGAAAGTTAAAGCTTGTATTCCGAGTTGAGCTATTTAACAGCAATTTCAACGTTTCATTAGTATGTTCTTGTCACTGTTGGAAGATAAAATACTTTCTTCAGCAGGTGAATATTTCTGTGGTTCATTTGACTGCATTTTAGGTTTCAAAATGGTCGTTCTAGAAGAGAGAAAGCCACAGTGAAATTAAATTATTTTTAGTCCATTTATGAAAGTTCATGCTATCTTCTTTCCAAAGAAAGTGAGAACAATGATAAATATTCTGCAAAGAAAGTTAATCTGTATCTTGTGTATTGTGATATATTTTGTGACCCATTCAGACCCCTTGGCTTTTGCCAAATCCTCTTAGTGAATAGAAATTGCACATAAACAGGAGTGATTTATATCTAAAACTATTTTATGGTACCCAGTAGTCATTTATTTGTAGTATCCTTGGTCTCCTGTTTAAAATGCAAGATTAGGAGCTGAGTGTTGTTTCTAGCTCTTTAAGTGACTGCACGGATATGGGTAAATCACTTAATCTCTTGGTCAACTTTATTTTTTCCTGTGTATGCAGGATAATAATACCCTTATCAGATCACTGCTGTGAAACATAATTGAATATGCCTTTAGAGTACTTAGAGATACTTGTTTCTAAAAGCATAAGCCATTAATGTTCTCCTTGGATGAGTGACAGTACCTTTTCTTTTTTCCCCCCAGCCTTTATTGCTGCCCTGTACATTGATAAAGATTTGGAATATGTTCACACTTTCATGAACGTATGCTTTTTTCCACGGCTAAAGGTAAGACCAGTCAGGTTCCTAATTTCCTGCCACTACGTTTTAACACATTATTGTGTTTTGGACTCTTACCACAATCTCTCAATCATAAAAGCATCTTTGTGAGCTTCTTACAGGAGTTTATTTTAAATCAAGATTGGAATGATCCTAAATCTCAGCTTCAACAATGCTGCTTGACTCTCAGGACAGAAGGAAAAGAGCCAGACATTCCTCTTTACAAGTAAGAACTGGCATCTTACGGATGCAAGCTAGTTATTGGTCTTTCTTGTATGTGGAGGAAAATGTGATCAGTCACCCTATGTTTTTCCCATAGTTTGGTTTTATTGTAGTTATCCAAACCTTCTCATCTCTCTTTGAAGATGGAAAAATGTTGAACCAATGTTTTCCAAGCTTCAGGTGTTTTGAGCCGTTACAAGGAAGAATTAGTAAGCATAAGCATTTTACCTTGTGCAGTTTCAAAGGAAAATAAAATTTTTAGTTCAAATGGAATATTTCATTGGCATCATTCTATATTTGTTCTTCTTTAAACGTAAGGAATGGCAGTATTTTAAATTAAATGAATGGGACAATGGCTTTTTGGATATGAAGTCAAGATACCTCCATTCTATTTTCAGTCATAATATGAAGTTTCTCTGCACTCTACATTATTATGCAAACATGATAAATGCCTTTTGTTACGCATCCTGATTGTAGGCTCTGTTTCTTATCCACAGTCAGGCACTGAAGGGCAACACGAGTTTTGGACATTTTCGTTGTGCAATTCAGCCCACATACATCCTCCTGTTTAGTGATAGAAGAACTCAGGGCAATGAACCTCTTAGCTTGTACACCTCAGATACCTGAAGCTGGATGTGATGAATCTCCCTTCTCTCTTTCAATTGTAAAATGGCATAATAGCTGCTTCAAAGAGGCGGTCATAAACTTAAGATTGTGTATAGCATCCATATCCATTCAATTAATGTAGGGATGCATGCAATATCAGCCCTCAAAAGAAGAGATAAAGGCTGTGAAAATTCAAGGCTTGCGTTGTTGGGATTATTATATCAAAAAGGTATGAGGAATGAAAGTCTAAGTGCATTCGTCACTTTACTGAAGTAAAGTTTTCTATGAAATGTAGCAGTTCAGTTACAGTGACAAACTGCACTTCAGAAATATGATTGCATTAACACTGCAACTGGTGCTCTGCAAAGCTCAGTGTCTCTGTTATGAGGGCTCACAGGTTTGTATAGAGTGAGGGAGATGAATATAAAAGAAACAATTCCTGATTCTTATAAAACCCACTGAGTATCAAGTACCAAATATTTGTTTTGTTTTGCTGTGATGATAAATTGATTTTTATAGTACAGTTTAGAGCTAGTAATATGCTGTTATCCTCCTATTATCTTGTTAAAATTCCTTTTCTTGGGGTTATCTGTTTCACTGCAGTCAGTACTATTGCTTTTAAATTTGGGGTGGGTTTTATTTGCTCTTGTCACAGCACACAGACAGTTAGATACTTTAAAAATTGATGTGAAATTGGTGCTTTTCCAAAAAGAAACAAGGTAGTGGACAGAACTCAAGCTGACAGTGGGAGAGATTTGGGACAGCAGAAGAAGCAATTCATTGCATGTCTAGGGAATTATCTTTTAGATGGTTCTATGATGCATGTCTTAGACTTTAGCTCAAATGGAAAGTTTGTTTTGTGACAAACTGTAACTTTTCAAAGGTGGTGGAAAATTTCTTTGTACTGTGATAATTCAGTATGTAGAGAGAGGTACCATGTTGAATATAAAGTCCTTTTAAAGCCTTGCTACTGCACAACTCTCAGGGACTAAAATTTTAGTGCAACAATAATCATATTGGTGTAATTAATTGCAATTGCACAGCTATGCACAATTTATGACTTTATTACAAGTGTTTTCACAGTGTTAAAGCACTTTGTGTTATAGTTGCATTTTTGCTTATAGGTTTAAGTTTTAGTTTTCATATGGTGCTCCTGAGTGAACCTGGAGGAATAAATAAAACCACTATAAACAAGGTGCACTTTCTGTTAATTTCTCCTTTTTATTGCACACCATATTGGTAATCTCTGGATTAATGTGATTTATACAGGCATCTTTCAACCTTTGCTCCATGCTTTGCACTAATTCCAGTATATGTATTGACCAGACTGAAGGTCTGGTGATGTAGGTGCCACAAACGGATTCTGGTTTTTAATACTACTTTGTTGAATAAATCATATCTTTCTTATTTCAGGACTTTGCAGACAGTGGGACCGTCTCATGCCAGGACATATACAGTAGCTGTTTACTTCAAAGGGGAAAGAATAGGATGCGGTAAAGGCCCAAGGTATGGCAAAGAATTAATCACATGGTGTTAAAGTTTGAGCATGACAGTGTCCAAATGACTAGCCATGAAGATAGACAACTGTGTGGTTGGCCTTAGACAGGGGGAAAGCTATAGAGCCTTCTTCAAGCTGTTCTGAGTTTCTTTCTCAGGAATACCTGAAAGGTTCAATGTCTGTCTAGTTTTGGGTCTTAAGCTTTTTTTTGGTGAACTCGCCTGCAAGGTGGCTAGCAATGCTAACCCATTTGCGGCTCTCAGACTAGAAACTGCAGAACAGCTTCCAGGAAATAGTGACTTTGTGGCTTTGGTACTGGATTACTGTCCTGCTTAAGCTGGCAAATTAAGGGTGCAAGACTCTCAGGGGTTTTTTCTGATGTTACTACTTCTAGGCATTTTAGAGTGGTTTTTAAAGTTGCGAAGACTTCCACCACGAACCCCAAAGACCTCATCTTATTTTCTGCTACCAAATCTGGTGGTGGTTATAAAAATATCATTGACTTTATAGCATTCACACCTCTGTGATTTTGTTCCCTATTTTCTCTCAAGTAAAGGCAAATGCTGCAGTGAAGAATGGACTAGAATATTCTCTTGGTGTTACAGATCTAAGTTTAAAAATATTCTACTGGAGCTGTAGTGCTATTGCTCACATATTTATGGAAAGTCCAATATATCATACACTTTGGAAATTACTGGTTATCCAAAGGGTTTTGTTACAAAAAAAATAGCTAGTGTTCCACTTTGTCAGAAACTTTAGTTTATTCTGTACAACTTAGATCTCACGTAACATGTTTTTTGTTTGACTTTCACAGTATTCAGCAAGCGGAAATGGGAGCTGCAATGGATGCACTTGAAAAATGTAAGATATTTGGGCAACAAAGAATTATAGTTTACATCCTTGGTCTTTAGTGAGGTGTGGTGCAGGTTTTGTGGGGGATCAGATTTGAACAGAATGTAGATGCTGAGTGCTGTCAGCTTCTGAGCAGCAGGTCTTCCTTTTAGTACTGTCAAGACAATTTTGTAACAAGTGAAGTTAATATGAAACCAACAGATTTTTTTTTAAAGGGAATTGATCCGCTACAGAGGTTGCAAATTAGAGGGAACTCTGGGCAGTGTATATGCGGGAACCTTGTATGAAAGAACTTCAGTCAGTTGAATTAAAGTGCCAGGTGTGGATGTACTGTAAGCAAATACATTAAATCCATTTTGTGCAAAAGAAGCTGTCTATTCAGATGAACATGGGGAGGTACCTTTTTTGCATTTGATTCAAAGGGAAGACATGCAGTTCCTCAGATGCCAAAGTTTTTTTATCTGTTATCTCTGCATCTGGAAATCCCAGGGCTTAAAAATTTTGGAAGACAATGAATCCCTGTAATTCAGATTTTTTTAAATATCCCTCTGTTAGGCATATACCTCTCACCACCAGTAAATTTGACAAGTAGAAAAACGTAACTTCCCTTCTCTGCTGAATATCTGCAAAATGCTACTGAAGTTTTCTTTTATGTGTTTTTTGTTGTGACAGTATCACCGCTCAGAGAGCTGTGAGCTTCATCTCCTATTAGTCCAAAGACTTCACAGCTCTTTTCTGACATACGTATTGGTTTGAATACCAGACCTCTAGAGGTCTCTACTCATGTCAACCCTCAAAACAGAGCCAACTTTCAAGTTAGGTCATGTTTCTCAGTGCCTTGCCAGTCAACTTTTGACTATCTTTAGGGATGGAGGCTCCACAGTCCCTATGGGCACCTGTTCTAGTATGTATATATTTGTGGAGTAGAGTTTTTTGTTTGTTTGGGTATTTTTTAATGCATAAGTAGTTAACTTCAAGTAAAAGTACTTTTCATGTACCTGTTTATATATATGATAGCCATGATGAGTTTATTACATACATTTCCTTCTTAACATCTTAAATGACTATAAACAGGTTGTTACCAAGCTGAGTTCTTTAGACTTCTTAAAGTTCTTACAGGCACAGTGCTGAAAATCCGATTTTCATTTTATGGTGCACATGAGCAACCAAATATCCCAGAACTCCATTAAACAAAGCACTAGTGTCTTTAAAAGCAGACGCAATTTAAAAACAAATTGCTTTTGTTTAGATTGCTTTCTGGTTTAAATAAAATATACCCTCCTATGCCTGAGTTGTAAATAACTGATGAATAAACCTTTTATTCCTGTAGTATATGATAGAACGCACAAATTCCACTGGCCAATAAAGCAAAGCTGTAGACAGTCATTCTATTCTACCACAAGCTCCTGCAGATATTGTGGCTTCTGCACCATGTTCTGTAACTGAACAAATCTGTGTCCTGGGACCCAGAAAGAGGAGGAAAACACGTGGTGCTGAGGGACAACTCCTTGAGGAGCCTCAGCTGAATCCTCTTTTGGTAACCAACTAGAGAGAGAGCAGTCTTTTGCCAAGACATCTCCCAGATTTGTTTATGGCTTTAAAGGTCAGTGTAGCAAGCTTTTACACTCATCTCAGACACAGATAGGTAGCCAACACTGATCGCAGAGTTCTGTGTGATCCCAGTAGGATTCACCGCCAACTGCAGGCTGCCATGTACTCTCTACCACCATTTCATTCTCTTACCGGCTGGAGGGTGCAGGTCTCTGCGGCACAGAGGCACAGATGAACGTCAGCACCTTGGTCATGCAGAAAACATCATATTCTGTCAGCTGTGCACTACATTGAGAGCAAATTCTAATCAATTATATAAGCTGATTTTACAGCCTCAGTTATACCAGCCAGTGGACAAATGCCTGAAATCAGAAGCATCTGTCCATCCCTCTAGCTATTTCTCCATCACCTCAGCCTTGTCTAGTCTATATTAGCCAGTCTTCACTCATCCATGCTGTTAGACTGTGCTAAGGCTGTATTCTGGAACATAGCCAAGCATTAACTTTTTCAGGAACAGATTTTACTGCATTCTGTTTTGCTACACTATTACTTTCCCATTAGGAACTGTTCCATGGTATGGAGCATCTAGTGGTTTCTGCATGGTCTAAAATAATAATAATGGAAACATCTGTACAATGCTTGGAACCAGTGGCTCGTACTTTTTGGAGTGAGAGAGAACAAGACAAAAAACCTGACAACATTGGCAGTAGTCTCACATTCATTTTTCAGTATTGACCACCTGTTGCTAAGGGAACAGAAATATAAAATCGAGGTAATACGTGGCCATGTTACTGTACTAGGATTTTATATTTTATTTTTGTGGGTGTGTTAGATTTGGCAGTGCTTTGTAGCAGGAGAAACAGATGTGAAAATCATAAAGAAACCAAAGTCTTATGACACACAGCCCTGATTTACTATGGATTATTAGAAATAAATGAGTAAAAATGGTAATAACATTATTCCTTGCCACCCCTGATCTCATCAAAGTGTTTTTTTAAAAAAAAAAAAAAAGGCTGAGGCTTTCTGTGTTACCAGTTTGTTTATTAATGTAAAATATTTCTCCTTGTGTCAGATAACTTTCCCCAGATGGCTCATCAGAAACGGTTCATTGAACGGAAGTACAGACAAGAGTTGAAAGAAATGAGGTGGGAAAGAGAGCATCAAGAGAGAGAGACGGATGAGACTGAAGAAGCAAGGAAATAAAAGGAGGACACAGAAGCAATGGCATATTTACTTGCTTAATAACTCTGACTGTGGCCTGTGGAGACCTAACCTAGTTTCTTGCAGATGATGAATGAAGAGTGCCTGTTGATATCAAACAGAAAATCATAATGTTCTTAAACTGTGTATATATATATATAGTATTTCTTTAGTTTGGTTTTAAGTGCAAAGTTTGTTTGGCTTTTTTAATAAGATTTGTTTTTAAATCCCTTTAGTTTTTGTGAAAAGTTGTGGGATAATTTTTATTATTTTTACTGTCTTGTATGAAGTAATAAAGTATTAATTTCCAAAGCCTGTAGGAGGGAAAGCTGCTTAACAATTGTCTCGTATGTCCAAATGCTGTTTTGTCAGTTACCAGCAAAGTTATTGCATGAATAACTTTGTGGAGGTGGGAGTAATTCAGCAGAGCACTTAAGCATGTACCTAACTTAAGTTTTGCAGCTAAATGTACTTCTTGACTCTGCTAAACTAGAGCCATGAACTTCAGGTCCTTTTACAGAAACTGGTACAGTAATTTAAGCAAAGGAGATTTCAGTTTTGTTTTAAACAGTGGATTCCACATCTGGAATGTGGCACAGGTGTGTGTAGAAGGTTGGGTGTTTTTGTCTTTAAATCAGTGTCATAAAACTCTAAGAAAAAGGAGAAAAGGTAATTATGAAGCAAGAGAATGACAACTTTTTTCATGGAGAATGTACTGAGTTTACATTTACAGGTTTTGTTCCATTCTTGACTTCTTCGTCGATCAAACCAGTGTCTACTTTAATGGATTTCTTTGTTTGGAAGATACCAGCATGACCATAATAGTCAAATGGTGTATTAGAACTCCATGCAGGTGTTGTTCCGGATAGGTTCACTGAAAACTGGCTATCTCCAAAGGAGGGCAGAATTTGTCCCCAGGGTGTAGTTGAAAGGTGGCATGCGGTTTTAAGTCGCCAAAGTTCTCTTGTTATTTGGTGTCTGTGGCTTGTATTAGACAGACATTTTTCTTCTATAAAAGCTCTGAATGGTACCAAAAGTGGAACATCCACTGTGTCTGTTGGTGGTTTTTCCCACTGACTACTGGCTTCGTTGTAGATGTTGGTGCGTTGCTTGTACTTTTAATTCACCTGCTTCAAGCCATTAATTTCTGTTATGCTGATTTCTGAGTTAAAACAGTCCCTTAGTACATACTGTGTAGTCATTTCTCAATCTTTCTTTTCTGATAAGTGAAACAGATACAACTCCTGCTTCAGATCCTTTTTGGTGAGTTATTTATGCATCTTTTCTGATGTAGGTAACACAGATGTACGTGATAAGATGCCAGGCAGTTTTGTGAGCATGAATGGACTAGTCTGGCCCAAAATATTTGTACAGACTCCTGAAAGAAATCTTTTGCCCAGTGGCTGTACTACACTGAGCAACTAATTCAGCAGTTTCTGAAGCAGATCTGAAGCATCTTTCTGTAGATGCGTGATTGGTGTCCATGAAAGCACTTTATTGCACGTGCCAAAGTAGACACAAGGGTAGCTGAAAAGTTCAGACTACCCGTATGTCTTCCCAAAGTTTCACTTCTGAGCTAATCAATGTGTATATTCATAAGCACATTTTTGTACACATGCAATGTGAGATGCACTTAAATGTAGTTTTATTTTTTTTAAACAAGACCCCACAGCACTACCTCAATTCTTCCAGTTTCTGTGATTATCTTTTTTCTTAATGGATTGATGCTTTAAATCCATTTCAGAGGATGAAAAGAAAAAAAAAAAAAAACAACAAAACACAACACCGAACACATTCTGTAATTTAGAGAGTGATAATAAACCATTAAAACATAAAGGAGGGGATAAAAACAACAAGATAAAGGCAAGGAGCTGCTTTCTGCTGAATGCTGCTGTTCTTTGGCTTTCGAGAAGTGATTATAACTCCTTATAGCTTCAGCCTGTAAATAGAAAGCTGAAAGGCCCGTGAACAGCAGAAGGCTTGAAAAGCAAGCGGCAACAATTGCCCTGCCCTCAAATGTTTTGTATTTCAAATTCTTTTGTAGAATTGCCCATCTGCTTCTATAGGTAAGTTGAAATGGTGCATTACTAGAGGGTTAAGGGTAGAATCAGAATGGTTAAGGTTGGAAGGGACCTTAAACATCATCTAGTTCCAACCCCCCTGCCATGGGCAGGGAAACCCTCCACTACACCAGGGTGCCCAAAGCCTCATTCAACCTGGCCTTGAAGCTTCCAGGGATGGGGCATCCACAACTTCTCTGGGCAACCTGTTCCAGTACCTCACCACCCTCAATGTAAAGAATTTCTTTCTTATATCTAACCTAAATCTGCCCTCTTTCAGTTTAAATCCATTGCCCCTTGTCCTATCACTACACGCCTTTCTAAAAAGTCCCTCACCAGCTTTCCTGTAGGCCCCCTTTAGGTACTGGAAAGCTGCTATAAGATCACCCCGGAGCCTTCTCTTCTCCAGGCTGAACAGCCCCAACTCTCTCAGCCTGTCTTCATAGCAGAGGTGCTCCAGCCCTCTGATCATCTTCGTGGCCCTCCTCTGAACTCGTTCCAGTAGCTCCATGTCCTTCTTGTGTTGGGGACTCCAGAGCTGAACACAGTATTCCAGGTGGGGTCTCACGAGAGCTGAGTAGAGGGGAAGAAGCAATTCCCTCAACCTGCTGGCCACGCTCCTTTTGATACAGCCCAGGATACGATTTGCTTTCTGGGCTGCCAGCACACATTGCCAGCTCATATTGAGCTTCTCATCCACCAGCACTCCCAAGTCCTTTTCCTCAGGGCTGCTCTCAATCCATTCTCCGCCCAGCCTGTACTTGTGCTTGGGATTGCCCCGACCCACGTGCAGGACCTTGCACTTGGCCTTGTTGAACTTCATGAGGTTCTCACAGGCCCTCCTCTCCAGCCTGTCAAGGTCCCTCTGGATGGCACCCCTTCCCTCCAGCGTGTCCACAACACCACACAACTTGGTGTCATCTGCAAACTTGCTGAGGGTGCACTCAATCCCACTGTCCATGTCTCCAACAAAGATGTTAAATAGCACTGGTCCCAGTACCGACTCTTGAGGAACACCACTCGTCACTGGCCTCCATGTGGACATTGAACCGTTGACCACAACTCTTTGAGTGCGACTATCCAGCCAATCCCTTATCCATCGAGTGGTCCATCTATCAAAACCACGTCTCTCCAGTTTAGAGATAAGGATGTAATGTGAGAATTGTGTATATCATTATTTTGTTTTTCCCTCTTAACTGTGACCAGATTCATGAGTAGAACTGCAGAGACTGCGTTTTCAGGTGCATGGTTGCTTTGCAAATTTCTCTCATCGTATCTGATATCACCAGTGTACACCAGTGGAACTGTTCGCTCATAGTTTAACATTAATTTCATTCTTCCTATACATCATTTCACTTTTCAGCTGTAAGAAGACTGTGGGTGTATTCATAAACATTTGCGTAAAAATAGATTGATTTTATCAGATGTTCTATTTGGAGGGAGGAATCCGGAACTGTGCTCTCTTCTTTTTTTGACCCAGAAATTGCTTGAAAACAAACTAACTTTAAAGAAGATTTCTGCTTTCCATTACTACAATGAACGAATTTTAGGTCTTCCTCAACAAAATGTAGACAATAACCATTTTTTCATGAGTGGGCTATTTTCCCTTTTTTCACTGTGTAAGCATGGGGGGCTAGGAAGATTGCCTGAAGAAATTTTGTTTTCCTTGTGTTGAGGGCAGAAAACCAAACAAAAGGTGAAGAAACTCCTTTCTTTACATCAAAACCATGGTGTCTTTCTGTGTATGCACTGTCTGAAAACAGTGGCTTTCAATTTTTCTGATAATTTAAGGAGATGCATAGAATGTGCGATGTGAGCGCAGTCATTTGTAACACACACAGTAATGAGAGAAAGTTGTTTCTTTAAGTTGCCTTAAATTTGAGAAAAAATATTACTGAGCTCATGTTAATCAGTGGAACAGCTATAGTCTGTAGGCAACTTTGGCTGTTTTTCTGGAAATGTGAAGGTGCCTCTAGCTTATTGATAAAGTAAGGTCCTTTTTAGCTTGCTCCAGAGCCTGATCTGTTCTGATCTAGAGGTTCTCATGCAAGATCTGTTGACTTCATTTAGGTACGAGTAGATGAACTAAGAACAAGACTGAGATCTGTGTGGATCCAGCAGATTCTGTGAAAGCACATCTGTCTTTTTTTATTCCTTTTTTTTTCAAAGTGCATTTATACAGAGGATTGAATAGAATTGTAGCTCATTTTATTAGGAATTTTAATTGAATTTACATTAAATTTATCATTGTTATTTGCAGAGCCTAAGTTTTCTTTGTAAGATTTCAGTTTCTGTAAGATTATTTAACAGCAATGCCAAGAGAACCTTGGTGTCTAAGGCTGTTGTAAACATTGTTGCTAATAAAATTTTCCAGAAAAGATTTCAGACATAGTGGTTACTTGCACAAACAATTTGGAGAGATCAAAAGGCAAATCCTGATCATCTGTCTCCGTACTTCAAAGACTCTGATTATACGCGCTACATATGTAAATGAAGTAAGCAGTTCACTTATAAAAAGTTTCTGTTTGGTGGAAGTTTATAAAGCCCTATAAGAGCTTAGGGAGTTGATAATCTACATTGTACCATTGTGCGTCTTTGGGGATGATATTGTGATAGAAATTTGTGACCTGTACATCCCACCCTGCTTCTCCCTTCTCTCCCCACAGGTTATATATTTATCATTGAGCATTTGAAATAGTTTTGCCTAAATGGGGAATAATAACCAGAAAGCACTTCCCATTTTGTTCCTTGAAGCGTAGTGAAAATTTGCAGTTGAAGAGTGTTCTGCTGTCTTCTGTTGCCTGTAAGCCTAAATATTTAGCTCTTGGAATGACTGAAATCTTACTGTGAATAGGCTCAGAAAAGAAATGTCCCATCATTGGTTGCTAGTAATTCTTCTTGGCCATGCCAAGCCATGGTGCCATGACACCAGCCATGGTGTCCCAGAAAAGACATTCTGGATTCTGCTGACTGTTCTTTCATTCGTAGCTAAGCAATTATGGTGAATAATCTGGAAAGCAGCTGCAAAATAAACTGGAGGTTGCATAATGAACTTGCATTTACTTATGACACTAACAAAAAAAAAATTGCCATACCAATATGGTAGGTGGAGCAGGGAATCTGATCTCTCATCTGTCATGGACACATCTCAATACTATTTATTCTTATTGCAGAGCTGCTTGTTAGACCATCTACCACTGAAAAATAGGTTAGCTCTTCTATTTTGAAGACATAATTTCTCTTTGTATGAAGATACTGATTAAGAGGAAT